TAATATGGGAAACTGTTCGCATTTTTATTTTTCATCATTTTCACATTCATTTCGCTAACTTTTGGTACACATTGATAAGATTGAGAATCAGAACATAACATTGGGTAATCATTGGTCAAGTAATGGAAAGCATGATCAAGGGTTGCTTTGTATGTTGACATAAATACTAAATAAAATTTCTACATTTAAATTACCTAAAATCAAAGAATAAAACACATTGGTATAAAAAGTTTTCCTCTTGTCATTTCTTTGATTAAAAGTATGGTTTATATGTAAAAAGCTCTGGATGTATTTTCACATATAATGCAATCTTCACATTATCCTGCATGGAAAATGGATAAAATAATCAGTTTTGGCAATTCATTATCTCAATATGATTTGTAGGCGTCAATGTAAAGCCTAGACTTTTTTTTTTTGCCCACTTCTGAAAACCTGGAAAGAAAGAAATTAATGAAGAAACATCAAGTGAAATATAAAAATATGACAAAAATCATTTAGACCAAACTCTTATTCTTTTATGTGCTCCGTCCTGGTTAAGACGATAAACTACGTCCAGCAGCAAAGCTTCTGATCACCTCTTAATTTCTGGTGTTTCCAGGTCCACCCACAATAGCAGCAATACTTTTTTGAAAAAAAAAAAAAAATATTATCAGATATAGACTTTTTGAAGGAAAAATATTACTAGCAATACATATTTGAAAAAAAATGTTACCAACAATAAAAATTTTTTGGCATTAAATAACCCATTGACGTTGATACGTCGTAAAACAAAGCAAACCAAGCCAATCTTTTATGTGCCATGCCTATTCAGAATGTGGGTGATCATGACTCTCCACTACTTCCTATATTTTGTATTTCACTTGCACCACCCACCTGAATCCAGGTTGGTCTTTCAACCTGTCAGTCCAGAAGCACCTCCACATATCAATCTCTTTTTTTTAGAGATTGTATCAAATTTCAGCTTGCTAGGCCTGTCACTTGGAGGACCCCACACACTTTCAAATGACGGAAGCTTTCAGAAACTTCCCAGTTCTTTTTATTTTTGCTGTAAATACTAGAACATGAATCTGATCCTAATCCCCAGTTGCACTAGTGAAGTAAGTGTATTGCAGACTTATTTTAAAGGAATCTGGTTAAATTTATCTTTTTGTCAAGCCTGACTACTTTTATGAATTTGACTTGGTGAATTATTTGGACTCCTGTCGTCTACTTGCCAGGAAAACATTTACTTGGAATTTGGTCAATGTTAGCAGTACAAATAAAACTTTCAGGAGTTCAATGAATCAACAAGAGAAATGAATGGTTGCGGTAATTCTAACTCAGAATTCATGTCTTTGAAAATTTATAGCGGACCATTTGGTTTTGTGGGTGGAAAAATGTTTTAAAATATTTGTACGTTTTTTTTTTTTTCTTTTTTTTTGCTTTTGGCAAAATTATTCTGTTTCTTTTTTTTTTGCGGAGGAGGAGTTCTTAGATTCTTTGCTGACAAGTTTCTGATACATGAACTGCTTAATACAATGCAGTGTTGATTGTGGCTTTTGTGTAGCTAGGCTTGTCTTGACCTGTCTGCGTTCTTGATTAAGCCGCTGGCCACATGTGAAAGAAATGAACAGACTTTCTGAATGACATACTGTATTTGGTTATAAGAATGTGAAATGCTATTTGCCGATCAGTATCTACCTTTTCAGGTACTTATTGTGATAATCATAAAAAGCAATTATTTAATCACCTTTGATAGATATTTACTAAGCTTTGTGTGAGGACACTGAATGAGCATCATTCACTGTAGTAATGATCTGCTAGTCCTGCTCCATAACTAATACCCTCTACTACACATTATAGGCTCCACTTGAACAGCTTCTTCTTATGGACTGCTACATTTTGGAACTGACTCCCAAGATGATGCTTCCTTGATCACTACAATCTTAACCTGTTTAAGTCATAGGTTAACTGTTATCTTCTCTACATATTCCCATAATCAGTTCTCTATACCTTTGTTATATTGGAACATACCTATTCTATTATTAATAGACTCTCCCACCTATAATAAGTAGTAGTAGCAGTCGCCAGGGGGCTCAGTGAGTTGGTGAGTCAGTCGATGTCAGACATTAAAGTATCAGCCACCACAACTAGATTACTGTGTCATTACCTATTATATCAAGTTCCTAACGTTTTGTACTTTAAACCTTTTTTAGAACCGACTTAGTGAAATACAACCCTCCACTGTGAAACTACTCTACAACAACCTTTTACTCTGTATCTATCTATCTCAAGTAGCTCTTAGGGTTTATTCAGTTTGAACATTATTGTAAAAAAACCAAAAAAAAAACAGTTTAGTGGTATGTCTATCAAATTGGCTGCAGTCAAAGCCATTGAGCCACTTTGAATGTTGCAATCTTTTTGCTGACTGCAGAGTATGAGCTTTACCAAGGCTACAAACAATTTGGAATTACAGATGTCATCTCCTACACTGATTACCAACTATGGCTAGGGACCCCTGTTATGATAATCCTTCAAGAGTTATGCCCTTGCATTAGGGTTCAGAGGAACAGAATAAAAAAGATGGCTGAACAAGCCCTAACATATTAAAAGTGTTTCCTGTCTTCATTAAATATTATTACAAACCCTGACTGCCCTGCTATATAACCTATAGCTGGGGAGGGAAAAATTAGACTCATACCCAAGACCAGATTATGACCTCTCGGAACCCCTAGGCTAATGAAATTATGGTGTCACCCACTAACCCAATTGCACCTGACTTGAATATTTTTTATTTTTGATATATTTTAATGACATTTATATAGCTTGAAATAAACTTATTGCAAATTATTTTGTTCATTTCATTATTGCAAATTCTTTAAATAAATAAACTAGAATAGCTATCTTTTGTTTGTCAATAAAAATATACTTTAAGAAATACAACTATTATACATATTTATTGCTAACCAAATTAGCACATATTTCAACATATTAGTGAAACTGGAAACTTTTAGTCCTGAATTTGCCCATTGGCAGTAAATTTAGTCGTCATCATCATCATTATCATAAAGGAAGTGATCAGCAAAGAAGAAATTAAATTTTTGGATATAAAATAAAGCCTCCTCTGATGCCAATGAGAAAAATCAATTAAAGAAACATTTTCTAAAACCTTTCCTACACCAATGTCAGGTGTCTAGATCCCAAATTTCCAGAAGTGGAACTCCATCTTCTTCAGTCCAAACCCAACCTCCTGTTTCTGTCTGAAACTGGGATCAATACCTCAATCTTGCTACAGGAGCTTACAATCTCAGGCTACTCACCTCTTATGACAAAATCACCAGAACTTACACCAAGGATGGCTTTCCCTGTAGCAGGGACACACAAATTGAGGACCCTGATCTTGCATGTATGTGCTTTTGTGTGGCACTTATTCATAGAACCACATTCATCTTTGCTCTCTATCGCCTTCAGGATGGAGAGACAGTAATCTTTGATTGAATATCTAAAAGGATTGATAATATCTTCACTGAATTTCTCTCAGCTAGCTTTCATATCTGTGGTGACTTAAATATCCACCATAAATAATGGTTAGACCATTCAAACCAAACTGATGGAGGCAGATATTGCAGAGACTTCTCTATGAACTAATACAAATCATCAAAGAACCAACCCATGTCTCGGACACAACAGGACATCAGGTGAACTCCTTTCTACCATCCTACCCTGATAAATGCTCAGCAAATGTCTTACAACCCCCCCACCTCACCTTTCCCTAATTAGGGGCCAGATTGATGCCAAACCTAAGGCTTCCTGTGATGTACCATTCCATAGAATATGCTGCCTCCAAAATCGATGCCCTTGTTTTGGAATGGGCTGTTTTATACCCCAGAAAAAATTCTAGCAAAAACTGGTTAGTCAGCCCTGGTTCACTCTTGAATGCACTACAGCCACAGTGCACCAGAACATCTATTTCAGTAACTATTGTAAGGTGTGGTGTAGTTTGACCCTTGCTGTATTCAGAACTGTAAACAATCACTGTAAAAGAAGCCAATTGCAGCTATGCACAAGCTGTCAAGGTCAAGGTTGAAAAGAAACAAATTGGATCCTGGAAGATTATGAACCATATCATGAACAGAAGTAAAGCAGCTGTGCCTACAATTATAGATGGACCCAAGGTCATGTCTTCTTCAACAAACAAGGCAAAATTCTTTGCCTTGATCTTTGCTTCTAACTCAATGTTAGACAACAAAGACTATCCCTTCTCCAACTTCCCACATCTCACTGAGCACAGTCTCAGTAATATTATTTGAGAAGTTTCTAGACTTAACAAAAGACTTGACCTTAAGAAAGCCACTGGCCCAGATAAAATTCCAGTGGTTCTCCTTAAGAATATCAACTCTTAATTATCCTCAATCTTAGCAAAGTTATTCAACCATTGTTTGAAGGAGAAATCCTTCTTAAATCTGTGGAAGGTGTCAAACATAAATAATAAACAATTTAAGCTACAAAGGAACACACAAACACAAGTAAATAATAATAATCATCATCTACAAAAATAATTATTTAATCAATAATAAATAATGAGTAAATAGTTAACAAACAACACTGCAAAATAGCTACAAATAACAGCATTTGGATTCACAATTATTTCTACTCAAAAGCCACTAGAATAAATTAAAACAAAACCATTACTGCACACCTGATAACCGTCAGGATAATACAATAGACATTACTACCCATAATGCACCATTGATCAGTATATATAAATAGTCGGGTCAAAACAGAATGCACATGGCCTGAAGATTGCATCCAAGCATAAAACACTGTTGCTGATCAATGTTGATGTCGGTATTCACTTTTATATTTACATATGCTCTATCTCTGATATTGAGCACCTTTTACCCATAAATATAGCATACCTTAAAACTGTATTTTTTATCTTATATATTAGTTTTATTTTTTTTCACATATGTTTTTTTTCCTTATATTTATTTTTTTCTCAATAGGAGGAAAAAGTTCAAATGGGACGGTCACATGGAGAAGAAATGGAGGAGGTTGACCATTATGTGGAACACATCAAACAGTTGTCTTCAGAAAGAGATGATGTTCTTCAGAGTCTGGAACTGGAAAACAGGCAGCTGAAAGAACAGGTGATCCAATTGACTGATGATCCAAATGCAAGTAGGTAACTCAGTTTGTAATTGCCTAACATCAAGCACAGAATTCTAATTATTTATTATTACTGTGACAAATTGAGCTGAATCAGGAGCCCTATATACACACACACACACACACACCGGGTGTAACACCAAAATTGTTCAATTGTTATATAAATCTTTGAACTGTTGTATGGTTAAAGATATCTTACTGGAATTCTTTGAATTTTTAAAACTATTGAACTCTAATTGAACAATATGAATGTATTTAGCTCTAAGTTGAAATGATGATCTCGCTTGCTGTTCTGAACTTTTGATCCAGTTTTCTTCTCTAATGTTCCCTCTTTTTAAAACTTATTCACCATTCTCTTGATGGTTCTTGAATGGACTTTGATGATGGAAGCCAGTGTATAAATGTAGGTATCATTACTGAAGGCTTGAATGATCTTTTTCCTTTCACCATTGTTCAGTAGGAAAAACATAGTGTGGCTGACACAAAACGATTTTAACCTGTTCTCTTTCTAGCTGAATACCCCAAAGGGTTTTTCAGTGATTCTTACGAATAATGGTGTCAAGATGGCTAAACGTCTTATCTGAAAACCTGGAAAAAAGAAAATCAGTTTAGTGGATTTTTAGATATTAAACATTTTGTGGGATCCCATGCTGTTATACATTTTGGACAAATCGAATAATATAGACATGTTGTGTTTGTTTATTTTTATACTGATCCTTTACAGATGTCTAATCAATTTCATGATGTTAAAATGAATTTCATCAAGGAAGGCGCTGTAGCTTTTTTTTTTTTTTTTTTAAAAAAAACCCAATTACCTTTGACCTTTTTTAAGATCATTGTCAAGATTAAATTACTGATATGGTGGAACACACCTATTCTATAGTTAATAGACTCTCCCACCTATAATAAGTAGGAGTAGTAAGAGTAACGAGGAGTCAGTCGGTCGATGTTGGACGACAGTCGAATACGAAAGTATCAGCGACCACAACTAGATTATTCTGCGTAAAACCTATTATATCATCTTCCTAATGTTTTGTACGTCGAACCTATTTTAGGACTGACTTAGTACAAATAAAGGCCTCCACTGTGAAATAACTCCACAACAACAGTTCTTTTAAAATTTTAAAATTTATCTGTTGTTTGTCACAGTTATCTCCCTTTTTATTGAAACACTTGTATTGTTAAAAATTCCATAACTAAAATGGATAAAATTAAAAATTCTAAAATAACAATTTTTAAAAAAATCAGAATTACAACAGAATGCAGATTTTATTGCAGTTACAATAAGTTTGTCTTTGTAATTTACTCCTGAAGATGATCTTAGACAACTGGAATGGATTAGTATAAAAAATACATAGAAACAATAAGTCTATATAATTCTATCAAAAATATACAGTGGGTCCTCGATTTATGTTGGAGATTTGTTCCTATGGCGCAACATAACCTGATTTTTTACGTAGGTCGGAACTCGCCTACATAAGCACCTATGAGTCTGCCTTATACTTGGGAGCCTTAATAAAGGGCAAAAAGTTCCCCCTCCCAAAAACAATGTAAATAGAGGGACAGTGAATGTAGCAAAATCCAATATTGACATACAGCTGGTGAAGAAACAATGCTGTCTTCCTCATATAGTGCCACGTGACGACATATTATATTATAGGAGATGGTGTCATAACCAAAATGCTGTATGTTGGGTCTGGCATAACCCAAGAACTGTCTGTCTCTGTGTATGTATACATATATATATATATATATATATGCACACACAATAAATTAGGAAAAGTGACTTATTTGGTTAACAGTGTTTTGCAATGAAATGCTCATCATGCCCAGATGTTTGATAAATCTATTGGAATTATATTTCACACACACACATATATATATATATATATATATATATATATATATATATATATATTTTTAAGCATTTCACCCCAAGCAGGGCGGGAAGCCACTAGGATGCAAGGGGTTACAGAAAATTTATAGCAAGATCAGATAGGAGTTATAGAAGAAAGGATGAGGGTAGTGGATAGATTAAGGCAACTGGAGATATCGATTGACATTACACTTGAATAGCTGGAGATTATAGCTCACAGGGAAATAGGAGAAGGGAAGGGAGTTCCACAGGCAAGAGGTGCGAGACATGAAGCTATTAGAGTAGAAGAGACAGCTACATTTAGGAGTTTCGACAGTGAAGGGGTGAGAGCGGGATGCCAGCCTTGTAGGGTGCTGGAACTCATGACGTCTGGTAACCAGCGAATGCAACTCATCGGAGCAATTTCCATGAAAGTATTTGTAGAACAGACAGAGGGAGGTGATGACGCGTCTGTGAGAAAGTGACTGTAGACGAGACGCCAGAATATATATATATATATATATATATATATATATATATATATATAAGTAAAAGCGTGTCACGTAGCTCATTGATGTTACCTTCAGCATCCTGACTCCAGAAGTTCTTAAGCGGACATGTCTGTCCACTCTTCAGGAGATATCAGCAATTTACTATTAATATTTTTGGGTTTTTCTTTCTCATGCACTTATTACTTATTTTAATTATGATGATGCTACTGTTGCCTACTATTTAAATAGCCATGTTTCATCTACGTTACACCAAAGGCTTATTGGAAAAGATTCAAAATATCTGCAGGCCATACAACATCAGGACAATATTCAGAAGCATCTATAATCTGCAGAGAAATTTCTGCTTAACATATTTGGAAGAACTAGGGAAAACTTATCTTAACTGATGCATTTCATCCTCTGACGAACTCTATCAAGGCTAATGTGAAATTCTGAAATTTTTACACATTAACTATAATGTAATCAGGTGATGTAAATTTTGAGTCAGAAGTTTAAATGTTTCTTATTTTAAAGTTTTTTTTTTTTTTTTTTTTATAATTCGGCCTGAAATTGAATTGGGCTATTTCTGAAATTTCTTCTTTTTTTTTTTTTTTTTCCAGCTCGAGAAGAACTTGCAAAAATTCTGGAGCATCAAGGTCTTGAAGAAATTATTGACTACAGTCGACTGGAACAGGTTGCCTTTCTTCTGGCAGAACGTGCCCAGTTATTAGATGAACTGGAAGCCCTCCAAGACCAAAAGAAATGCTCTACAAAAGATGCCAACATACAGGTTGATCATGCGGAGAGTAACCTTAACCAGAATCTTAACCTCACTGAAATGGCATTATCAGAAAATTCTTCCAGCAAAGAGCAAAACATTATTGAAGAACTTGTTGGTGATGATGTCTGTGCATCCAATAAAGGCAATGATGAGGATAAAAAATTTTTCTTTAATGACACCAATATTAACCCCTGTGAAATGGAAAGATTTGTATCCAAGTTGACCAGCACTGAAGATTTAAATCTGATGCAGCAAAAAGAGGTTATGGATGCCTCTACTGGTATGGATGATGCGTTGGAATCGGATGTGGATTTACAGAAACTCTTGGAGAAGGAACATGGAGAATTTGAGGATGAGCTTCATAAACAGCAGGAATTCTGGCAGATGAATGAAAAAAAATTGAAAGATGAACACGAGGAAGAAGTTAACACTGTCCTTGAAGAAAATGACAGATTGGAAGAAGAATTATCGGAGGCTCGATTAAAGGTTTGTTTCTCATTCTCCTTAACCTTATACAATTGCTTACCCATGGTACCTGATGATACCACTACCTTTCTTTAACTTATCACATTGAAACACCGGTTTCTGTACGATCACCAAAGTTAAGTAACGTCAAGCCTGGTCAGTACCCAGATGGGTGACCCTTTGCTGTAAACTTGGATATGTGGGTGGAGTAATGGATAATGGCTCGGAATTGTTAATTGGATAGCCAAGTTCCAATTCCAGTTGGGTTTGTTATATTCACTTATATGCAAATACCATTGGTAAAGGCATGAATCCACCTCTTCTCCCTCCAGCTATGGGTTAATCAGTAATACTTGTATCACTAAATCATTATGTCAAAAAAAAAAAAAATTCTCACAATCTAAAAATATTTTCTTGCTTTAAATAACTTGCAAATGGTTGATAAGCTAGAGAAAGTGAATGAATGAGTTGATCAAATACTGATTAGCTATATAGGCATGTATTTTATATTTATTTACATTCTCTTGAATATAAAAGTATAGAAACTACTGTTTGCACAAAGTGAGGGATCATTTTATTTAGTGAATATAATATTAGATTGATCCCCCACTTTATATCCATATAATTTCTGAATAAGTATGAATCCTTCACTTCTCCCCATCAGCTATGGGTTAATTAGTAAGACTTGTATCACTAAATCATTGTTATCTCCAAATAAATAAAAAAATGAATTCTCACAATCTAAATGTTTTCTGGCTTTAAATAACCTGCAAAGGGTGGATAAGCTGCAGTGAAGTGAATAAATGAATCGGTCAACTACATTTCTTTAGAGAAATCTACTGAACAAATGATCTTTTAACTCAGGAATCCTTCACCTTTTCCAAAGTTCACACTCTCTTCAAGATTTCAAAATCTTTCTCTTACCTTTTGATTTTAAGGCTAAAATATTAAAATTAGTGAATTTAATATGAAATATTGTGAATAACAAACTGTTAAGATTTATCCAAATTAAAAATAAAAATTAAGTTTGCATCAAGATGTTATTAATATTTTTACAATCTTCATTTTCTACCACCTTCTCTTCTATTTATCTCCTGCATTTCATTCCTCATTACCATTTTAGCCCTCTATCATGAGAGGCTTTCGAGTCTAGCATTTTGAGTAATTTAGCTAAGCAAAAAATTAATGTACTGATTGCTACGGCTTTTTAAATTGTATGGAATTTTAGAACTGAGAGTGATCTGTGCATTGTATTGAACATCTGGCCAATTTCTGAATTTTGCTTTTAAATCAAACTTTTTCTGAATCATTTCACCTGAAGCAAGGCAATAAAGCCACTGAAACACAAGTGTGAAAGAATAAGGGAAAGAAAAACATTAAGGTGTTATAGAGTAGGATTCAGTGTACTTCCTGCTTTTTCATACGACTGTGACAATAGACTGCACCTACTTATAAATGTGGCAAGTAGCCAAATTAGAGTAGGATTTAAGGAGTAGTTCATTCGCTCAAGTTTTTTCCGTTCTGTGTATGAGTATTTAATAAAGCTCTTCTTTGTTTTCCCTACCTTGTCTTCTATTCTGTTGATACTCTAAGTATGTCCTTCTGAATTCTCAAATATTTTGAATAAAGACAACATTACAACATATCTTGAGACTTTTATTTAAAAATGGTTTAATGCTTTAGAAAATCTATGAATCAATATCTTCTCCCCACATTCAGCTATGAGTTAACTGTGTTAAATAGCTGAGTAGATTGGGCTTTCTAGCCTTGTGTGGTAACCATTTTGAGAGGAGGAAAATGGTGAATTCCAAACAGTGAAGAATGTAACAGGTGTCTTACACTGTCTTAAAGGAAACAAGAAACAAACTTTTTGCACTTGGCTCATTGTTCTCTAGGCTTATGATTCTACCTTCAGATATGAGATGTCCCAGCTTCAAATTGCAAGTGAGCCGAGCATTACATTTTTTTTCTCCACTGTTGATCATAATCCTTAATAGGAATGACTGCAAAAAAAACCTTTCCCTCCTCTTTTATCAGCAAAAGCACACAAATGCATTCAGGGTTTTTTCTTAGCCAATAAAATAAGCTGGTTTACAGTTTGACATGACACAGTCCTGATCTGCTTTGTCTAGAACTCAGGCTGCTATGTTCACTTGTCCAAACTTGATTTTGAGTGTCAATGTCAATTCTTAGTTTGTGAATAATTTTTATGACGCCACTTCCAGAAAAGGCATAATCTCTTCTGTTTTCCAATGACAGTGTTCGGACTTGTTTTGGCAGCCATACTCATGAAGTGATTTGGTTGTTTCAATTCAGTGCAAGGCTGACTTGAGCACAACCAAGAAATCATTGTAATTCAGAGATGATAAAGAAAAAGGAACCTGTGGAGATCCATGATCATGTACGTCCTGAAAAGACATGGCAGTAAAAATTAAGCAGAAGAAAACCTGTGTTTATTCCTTTCTTGCATTGGAATCTAAGACATATTTTGTTGCAGAGTAGGACTCCGCATACTTCCTGCTCTTCCCTACTACTGTGACAATGGACTGATCCTAGTTATAAATATTGCAAGTAGCCAAATTAGAGTAGGATTTGAGGAGTAGCTGATTTACTCATGTTTTTCTGTTCTATGTATAAGTATTTAATAAATTTTGTTTTTCCTACCTGGTATTCTGTTCCTTTGATGCTCTCTTTCCTAATTCTTGGTTATTTTTAACAAATATGACATTACAACATAAGTGAGAGCAATCACAATGTCAAAATATAACGACTGACATTACATTTAACTATGTGAAGACCAAAGTTGGCTGGATAGCAGGAAGCTGGAAAAGAGTTCCACAAGCAAGAGGTATGAGAAAGAAACTGTTAGCATAGAACTTAGTTATATCTAGCCAATTCAACAACCTTATTGTCAATCTAGTACTGTGCTTAAATTCATAAAGTGTATGTATAATAGTGAAGAGGTCATAAAAATAATTACCATGAAAGTATTTATAGAAAAGGCACAGGGAAGCTACATTAAGATGGTGGGAAAGTGACTGAAGCTGAGATGCCAGGTCAGGACCAATAACATTGCAGATGCTTTATATTTTATCAAGAATCTCTAAATATATAACAGGAACACCAGACTTTATGTGGCAGCAATATTCAAAGCATGGATAAATAGTAGACATAAATATGTAAGCTAGATTCTGGAGATAAAAATTGTCTGGCATGGCACTGGGAATGAACATTCTTAGCAGCTGACCTAGCAATTGAGTCAATATAAGCTTTCTACTTCATGACAGCAGAGAACGTTAACCCGAGAAGGTGTAACAAATCACTCTCCTGGGGGTTAGTATCTGCCATGTTGATGGGAAATGGAACGTGGTCTCAGGTGATTAATAGAGAGCAGTTTCATTTTGGTGGTATTAAGACTAACAAGCCATTCCTTGTCCCAGTTAACAGCAGACTGTAGGTCATCTTTGAAAACAGTTGCAAATTTGAACTTATGAAACTGACCAGAAAGATGAAAAATCCTACTTCACAAAATGATCGACTTGCAAACAGAAGAATTACTTCCAGGTGTGTGTATGTGTAGAGTGGGAGGGGGACACTTTTTCTCTTTTTGCAATACTTTTAAATGTTTACATTTGCAATTCCTAAAAAACTTTGTTGCGATTTTTTTTTGTTGTTGTTTTTGCTTTTTTCTGCCTTTTTTTTTTCCTTTAAAAAACAAAAAAAAAAAGTAAACAAAAACATTTGTTCCGCATCGTCTTTTTACACCCACCAAAATTACTTGGTGGAGGTGTACACAGTTTTAAATACTTGGTTACTCTTGTTACGTCTCCTAGAGTTTGTTTAAAATCCAGGGCAATGCAATGTTATTCTGGATAGAAAGGTTTTAACCTAAAAATGGTCTTCTCTTTATATGTGGTCTTATGGTTCTCATACAATCACCAAACTTAAGCAACATCGAGCTTGGTCAGTACCTAGATGGGTGACCACTTGGAAGCACCAGGTGCTGTAAGTTTGGATGTGTGGGTGGTGTAATGGGTAATAGCTTGGAAATTGGAGAGCTGGGTTCCAATTTCAGTTGGGTTTGTTATATTCATTTATGCTTAAATGTCCTTGAGAAAAGGTATGAATCTACCTCTTCTCCTCCAGCTATGGGTTAATTAGTAAGACTTGTATCAGTAAATCATTATTAACTCCCAAAAATTCTTACAATCTGAACATATTTTCTGGCTTCAAATAACCTGCTAATGGTTGATAAGTTGTGAAAAACAAATCAGTTAAACCATCAATTTCTTCATGTGGTCTGTTGTACATAAGACACACACACATGCATGTGTTATATATAAACACACAAACACACACACACACACACACTGAGAGTCTTTTATCCAAAATTCTTGGAACCGGAAGTGTTTTGGTTTTCAGATTTTTTTGGATTTTGGCATACAGACTATTACATTTGTATATAGCATCTCTAAAATGGGACAGCTTGGGAATGGAACCCAAGAATAAACATGATATCCATTTACATTTTATAACACAGCTTATACATATAACCTGAAGGTAGTTTTATATAATTAACATATACCTTGAAAGTAGTTTTATATAAAACTAGCAATAGAGCCCGGGGTTGACTGGGGATGTAACAGTAAAAGATAGATCAAGTATCGACCATCATAAAGACTGAAAAGTAAATTTGACAAAGATTATTGTTTAAGGTTGACGGACACGCATGTCTTAATTAGTTTTTTATGTTTTGTTTTGTTTTTTTTACAAATTGGTCAAACCCAAACAAAAACATTGTTTTCAATCATTATGAGTCTACCGATTGAATAGAATTTTATTATAAACAATTGTCTTGTAAATGGAATTTTTAAAGCATTCTGAATGTAAAAATAAAGAAAAAGTGTGCAAGACAATAAGAAACACTACCTGCCAAAAAAAAAATTGAAGTTTTGTTGAAATCGGTTGAAAATTGTAGGAAATCCGATCCCATATATAAATGGACACACACACACACAACCTGGGTTTTTATAAGTATGATTTAATAAATTTTGTGTCCAAATAGATACAGGTATTGGCGCTAATCATGTAATGCTCACATGGATTTTTTTTTTTTTTTTTTAAGATTTCACGTAAAAATAATGTTTTGTACTTTCTGTACGTGTACAAAAAAACATGATCACTGCTTACAAAAATATATATAAATGCAACACAAAACACTACTTATACATTAGGTGTGAGAACCTGGAGGGATAAGGTACATCATTGATGACATCACTGTGAAGGCTCAGATAATCCACAACAAACTTGACTTTGTGCCGCATCCGACCACGTGGGGCGGTCAGTGAATATCTCACCCTGAGGGTGACAAGGAAAATTCAGTAAGCTATCAGTCTCTACCAACGATGTCATGTTTTGATTAAAATGTTGCAATATGTTACAGGTATAGAAATTGTATAAAAACAAAACATGGATTCTGATTACAGTTAAATGTAATGAAAACAGAAAAAAGTCAGCATTTTATTTGTATCACTGCAACGCAATAATCATGGTAAGGGTAGCCATGTTGCTTTCTGAAATTTTCCATTTGTGGCAAGTCATGTCAGCACCTGAAAACCTTTGGTGGTTTTCAAATTTCTGGTAAAGGATACTAAACCTGTATAATAATCCTGTTTTGTCAGTAACATTTGCATTTATTCTTGATAATCCCCTTTTCTTTTCTAATTTTCAATGCCCCTAAATGTAGATCAGCTAAACATTTGAAGACACATGAGGAAAGAAAACTTAGAGAATTTAAGACTCACAGAGCACATAATAAGTAGGGGAAAACAAGAAGAAACCTACTGGACAAGTTTGAGCAAGTAGATGACAGCATATATGCTACAAGTACAAATAGAGGTTGTCAAATTGCAAGTATTGCTTCAAGCAATAAAAACAGGAGACCATGAAGAGCCATGACCACCCAGACCTTTAAGGAACATGAGATAGCAAGATATAGTGACTATGATAATTGACCTTCATTTTTTCATTGAAAAAATTTTCACAAATTGCTTTGATTGTAAAATTATATAAAATGATAAAAAATATAGTTTTAAACTATGCTATATTTATAGGCAAAAGTTCTCAATATAAGAGATAGAGTATATATAAATATAAAAGTAGATACTGAGTTCAGCATGAAGCAGCAACAGTCTGTTTCATGCTTGAATGCAATCTTTAGGCCATTTGAAGATTGATTTCAAGCATGAAACCTTGTTGTTTCTTGATGTTGACCTCAGTATCCACTTAGGTCGTCACACATGAAATGATGCATTTTTTGGTTGGCTGTTGAACTGGTCGTCTAACAAAATAACCTCCTTAGGATATAAAAAAATCTTGACTTTATTCCTGTCTCTTTTCTTTTCTAGATAGTGTTTTTTGCAATATATTGTACCTCATAAGCCCAATGAAAATGATTGCAATAAAATAATGTTGAGTAATTTTACTGCATGAGTACAAATTGGGAAAAAAAAAAAAAAATTTGCATCAAATCATTACATTCAATGACAAATAGATACTCTTTGACAACAGTAAGAAAGTAGGCCAGTGATTAGATGTAAGTGAATCACAAAAATAATACCACAAATCTCCACAACACTCTAAAAAGTTCATGGATACTGTATGGTGGTCTTTCAAAGGGGTTATTCATTATTCATTCTTGCTTCAAGAGAAAACAATAGCAGCAACATTGTATTGTAGAGAAATTACATGTATACATGAAAAAGTGAAAAAGAAACATCTTAGACTTGTGAATAGAGATGACCCAATTTTGCTGCATGACAACACACGACTGCACACTTCTCAATCAACTGTCAAAAAGCTGCATAGCCTGAATTTTGAAATTTTGCCTCATCCTCCATTTTCACCTGATATCTCTTCTACTGATTATCACTTATTTAAACATTTTGAGTTTTTGATACGCAATAAAACATTCCCCCAATAAGGAAGAGGTAATCAAAGCATTTGAAGTGTTTATCATATCAAAGGATGAGATTTTTTTTTTTAAAGATGGGATCAAGAATTTAGAGGTATTTTGGAAAACAATCATTCTTCAACATGGTGCCTATTTCAACAAAATAAATTAGTTATTTAACATTTCACAAGTGTTTTATTCATTTCCTATAAAGTGTGAAAGTTCATGTATGGCAACCTAATATAATTTATATATGAGCAACAATTCTTCTTTTAAACATATTTAATTGAATCTGACAGACAAAGAAAAATTGATTAACTTTTTTTATTGACTTTTTCTAGTATTATTAAATTTTTCCATTTGGTGGGGGGTAAAGGAGTGTAAAAATGGTCTGTCGTGTCAAACACTTTCACTCACTTCCTTGTTTGTCATATTTAATGAAATTATATATATTTTAAGATAAGGGACAATTTATGGTGATGAAAACAATTATGAGAAATTCAAAAGTTATGCAAATAAGTACTTAAAACAGCATAAAGAAAATGGATATTATTTATTGTACCTGACACTGAAATCTAATGAATTTAGCAATTTTATCTTTATTATATAAGATGAAGCATCATCAACAACTTTTCTATTAATACTTTCTTTCATTGTAAAAATAGATATTTACTTTTTACATTATGAATGCAAAAACAAATATGTCACCAAAAGATATTGAGAAGGAATGAAAGATAAGTTTACAGGTTAGATTTGATCTTCTGTCAAGTCACTAAGTTCTTGTAGCTCAGTTGATAAGAGCAGCTGACACAATTAATCAGTGCCCCTGAGACAAAAGGGATAAGAATTAAAGTTTCTTTGAAAGCTAATCTTTTATTTTCAACTTGTGCTATTTACTCCTATAGATTGTAAGATTTATTTAAAAAAAATAAAAAGATTAAAAAAACTATAAAAAAACAAATTGATGACATCAACGAATTCAGTTTCAAATAATCTATGACAGATATTGATATACTTTGCTTGTTCTTATTTTATGAGTTAATGGTTCATATATCATGTGTACAGTGCTCAATATACATCTGTATATATGCATATGTATACAAGGCTAGTATCAGTAAATTATCCATGCAACTGTAACTAATTGTCATTCTCATCCAATCACCAAAGTTAAGCAATGTAGAGCCTGCTCAGTACTTAGATGGGTAACCACTTGGGAATACCAGGTGCTGTAATGGATAACTGCTTGGAATTGGAAATCAAAGGACCAAGTTTCAATTCCAGTCAGGTTCTTATTAATTTATGCACAAATGCCCTTGGGGGGGAAAAATGTGAATCCACATTTTCTACCTCCCCCAACTATGGTTTAATTAATGGAACATGTATCAGTAAAGTGTTATTTCCAATAAAAAAAAAAATTACAGTCTAAACATATTTTCTGGCTTTAAATAACCTGCAAATGGTTAATGATGTGTAAAAAAAAAAAAAAAAAAATCAAACGGACCAATTGTTCATTTCTCATTCTGTTTCAGATGGATCAATATGAAGAACAAGTTGAGGAACTGAAGAAAACGGTTGACATTTTGACAAGTCAGTTGGAACAGAGCAAAAGTGAAAAATCTGAAGAACCAGAAAAAGGTTTGCAATTATTTTTTGGATAATTTTTTTTTTTTTTTTTTAAGAGAGGATAGAGAAACTTGTTAAGTAACGACTTTGCTTGGGGTGAAATGATTTAAAAAGAAAAAAAAAAGTGTTTTAAGTTGACCAAAAAGATCATTGTATATTTGTTGTTAGATAGCATTAGGAGAGTTTAGTTTTAACTAACTTCACTCAAAAGGATCACTTTCTGTTTTATTTTTGCAGCTGTCTTTTCAGAGTGGTCATATTCTCAAAATTGCTGAGGCACCTTGGTGTGGTGTAATGGTTAACAAGCTTGTCTCAGTAAAACAGTTATGACTGAGTAGTGAGATCGATCCTCACTGGGTGTCCATATTTTTTATCTTGTGCCATATCTAAGCTATGTTTTAAAAAAAACTCACCATATTCTCAAAATTGCAGTGTTAAGATACAAGAAAATAAGTAACATTTCCAGCAAATCCTGTTTTTCTTTAAAGAAAAGTTTTAAAAAAAGCCTTTTAGAGGAATATTTTCTTTTCTCTTGCTGAGTTTCTGAAAAGCATCTTTCCTGATTTCTATGTAATCTTCAAATTTCAGCTATTACTCAGTGAAATTTCTTCACCGACTTCATTCTGACAACTGCAATATGTAACTGTAGTGAACGAGATAATCAGGTACCCCGGAAAAAAGTTTGTGTTTTGTCTGCCGAAGAAGGATTACCAAAAAGTAGTCAGCAAAAATCTTATAGCCAAGAAAACGGCGACTTACCTCGTCAACCCAAGCAACAGCACGTCGCGTGTATTCTGTGATGGAAAAAGAAACAAGTCCGTCGCAGGAGTCGCTATAAGAGGATATTGATATGCAAATTACGGAGCATCCTATCCCAGCTGTCGACGAATGAAAAAATAGGTTCTGCCGATAAAAACAGTTGGTGTTCTCGATTTGGTGGAAGGAAAAATTCGGGCATTTTTGGCTACGGCGTTTGTTGGAGAGTGAGTTATTTTCCTGACTGGTTACACGCATTGTGATTTAAGATAGTACCGGCGAATCGAGTTTTCAGCATTTCTTTCTGCCCCCGATACTCGAGTCTGTACTTAATGATTTTTCTTTGTGTTGTGAAAGTAATCTGCGGCAAATTTGCTTTGAGAACGCTTACACTTCAGTAACTCATACCTTAGGTTGTCTCTTTTACTGGCAACTATGCATCATCTTTTTACAATTAGTCCCCTTTTCTAATTCTTTTTTTTTTTTTTTTAAATTTTTCTCCTGAATTTTCCTATAAAGAAAGTATTGTTTGTTGGTAAGCTTCTATCCACTGATAATAAATCCTGGTTGGACTTCTATTCCTTTAAGAACCATCTCATCTTCATACTTCCTGTTTTTTGTATTTGACTTATTCTATATCCTTAGTGTTAATCTTCATGAGTTGCTCTCCTTGGCAACTCTTCAACTGTAAAAGAGGCGGCTTACCCAGAAGAGGCTTAGTGGCCATTTTAGATACGCCACACACATAGAGCAACAAAGGAGTCAAAATAAAATATTCTCTTTCCATGATGTGTCAGAGTTCATTTAATTTGGATTTACACTTAGGAAATCTGTTTGTTCCCAGTACAAGTTATGGATTATTTGAATATCTTTTCCATGTAGACCAAGCTTTCCTAAAAATTTTAATATATTCTTCACATCATACTGGTGGTGAAGGATGACTTTGAAACTAGGGCATCTAGCCCATGGTGACTGATAAGAGTTAAGAGAGAAATATGAGAAAATAATAAAACCAACAAATAATGATATTTAAAACTTGTTTATTTCTAAATTAATTCTTTTGTTTCTTTTTGACAAACTCATTGATCATTTTGTTATAGAAAGTATCAACACTAAAAAGGAAGATGCAGCTAATTTCACTGCTTTTTTTTTTTCCTTTGTTGTTCTTTTCATGTTTGCTCAAACTTAATCTCTCAACTTTCTTTCACTCATTTCTTCTACTTTCTCTCTGTCTGTGCATAGAATGAGCACAGAAGAGCTATACTTCTTCTTCTATGTGCCATGTCCCTTCAGGATTTTGGTGATCATGGCTCTCCACAATTTCCTGTTCTTCATATCTCTTAATAAATTTTGTCTTTCTGTTATTTCTCCTAAACCCTATTCTGTCATTCATTTACTTAAGCTCACTAGGCAGGTTATGTATTGCTTTCCTCTATCGCTTCAATAGCATGAATCTGCCCTGTGAGTATCAAATTTTCCAAGTCTTCTTTCCTTATGTGCCCTAGAAATTTCAACTGTCTCTTCTTGATGTTAAGTATAAGAATCCTTTTAGTTTCTATCTTCAAAACTTTGTTGTTGCTCTCATGTTCAGTCCATGGTATTTTTAGTGTTCTTGTATAGAACCACATTTTTTTTTTTTTTTTTTTTTTAAAGTCTCTTCTTCATCTGGGAGGAGATTGGGCAGCATTCACTGCTATATAAAAGGACTGAATATCACATAACAATTCAGTAGTCTTTTCTTTGTTTCTAATGAAATTTTCTAATTTCTTAGTACTTTGATTAAAAAACAAAAAGAACTTATGACTACAAGATAATAGATAATCAGTCATGGGCCATGCGTGATACACACTTAGGCGATCATGTATCTTTCGATATATGACTGATGAGGCAGATTTTTTTTTTCACAGCAGAAGATTGTCAATTCTTTCTGCAGTAGACTAATTTCTATCCAAGGCTACAGAACACAGTCTATCCTTCTATTTACCCATAGCTGTAGGGAGAAGAGGATTCATACCTTTCCCAAGGGTATTAGTGAATGTAATGGATTCGACTGGAATTTGAACTCGGCTCTCCAATTCCACAATCTGAGTCGCTATCCATTACATCACTATGCCTCCTCTATTGTCTAGCAGACAATAGTGGAATAAAATGGTAAATGTGTTGCTTCATAAATGTAAAAAGATTGTATGTCACATAATAGATCAGGGTTTCATTTATGATGATGTCTTGTGTGTGTAAAAGTTTCCAGCATGTTTTTAATTTTTTAAAAATAAAAACAGGTTTTCTTTGTGTATTCAGTCTCAAGTTTATAAAGTGTTTACACTGGGAACTTCTGCACACACACAAAATACTTTGAAGATCTTTAGAAGGGACCATTTGGAAGACTTACTTCTATAAAGTATTATTAATGAATCATTTCCTGATTTTTTTTTTTTTTTTTTTTTTTCTACAGTAAAGATCACCTTGTACAAGGCCTGTGGGGGCCACTCAAGGTAAAGGGTTACAATAAGGGGATAGAGTTTATATAGATAGGAGTGGAAGATGTTTGACTCTAGACTTGAACAGGTTAAGTTTGTAGTGGTCAGGGAAACATCCTCTAGGGAGTCTGTTCTTTAGAGTAGTAGTGAAAGTAATAATTAGAGCCAAGAATTTCAGGTAAAATGAATGATATAAAAAAACTTAAAATGTTATTTCTTTTTTAAAGAAGTTTTTCAGCATAAATGCATTTTTAGCCATTTTTCAGCATAAATATCCCAAACATTAATATTCTGAGCCAGAAAAACAGCTACAAGTTTTGCTGTCAGAATGGTAACATATGAAATTACTGCTGAAAATGATTAATAAACTCTCTGCTAACTAAGCATAGTCAAAATAAATTAATTTTTTCAAAAATGTATAATAATAATAACAAAAAAATTGATACTCACATTTAAAAAAAAAGTTGGCAAAAAGCAGAAGAAATACATAAGGATTTATGAATTGATACCTCAAATCAACTAGCAGACCATCCTAACCTGGGTAAGACGATAAACTACGTCCAACCACACAGGCCTCAAATCAGGAGGTTTTGTGGAGCATGGAACCACCTCTTAATTACTGGTGTTCCCAGGTCTGCCCTGAGCCAGAGTGGTGTGACCATGTTAGGGTCCCAGCTATGGGTAAAATAGTTAACCCCCAAACTGGGGTCAAAACACTATGAAAGTGTAAAAATAAGTTTTAATACCAGAAATACTTTGTAAAAAAATATTACTAGCAATACATTTTTGAAAAAATATTATCAGCTTTAAATAAACCATTGAGGTTGACATGCCATAAAACAAAATGAAGCAAACCAATCAACTAGTTGATTGCCCCTCTCTAAAAAGGGGGTAGCTATAGAAAAATTATGAACTGCAATCAATGGAGAGTTGGACCTGAAGCATGAAAAGAGAAGAAAAAAAAGAGAAAGTGACCCGTGTGTTAAATCTACATAGAAGCTAATTGTATTTAAATCAGTAGCAGGAGATTTGGCATTCCTGCTGGTTAAAAGTGGTTTAATCATGGAAGTTGTAGGGGAGATAAAATTCTGTGTAAATAATTATAAACCTTTTAGATTTATGCATACAAAAATACTTGTAGAAAAGTAGAAACTGCAAGACATGGTTACAACAAAACAAGTATTATTTATTATCTGGCTGACAGTGATTGTTATTTGATGTTAGAGACACGAGACAATAATACTGAGTAAATTGTGTATAATTTTTCTTGTATGTTTTTTCTTTTTTCTTCTAATGAATGTAGTGAGTGTCAAGGTAATTTAGTTGGAAGAAAAAGAAGTCTAAAGTTTTCTTACCTTAGAATTTGGTTATGAGTGTTAAGATCAAAATGCTGTGGCTTGAAAAGTAATGGAACCGACATTTTGGTTCTCCTCATGTTCATTGCCTCTTTGATAGAATGTCACATGTTTGTGGGTGGGAAAGGAGAAGAGTGGGGTTGATTCTCATTGATTTAGAGATGGTGACTTTTATTAATGATAATTGTTAGAATTATTTTATTATAATTATTTGTGACAATTAATTTTTATTTATTTTTAATGGACGCAACAAGATGGATTTAAGCTTTGCCAATTTCTCCTTTGTCAGCTTTTTGTATCAGGTGCCTGGTCAAGCCTTGTCACTTTGAACAAAAGATTGCTGTTGCTATTCCCTTCTTTTGAATTTTCTATCTGTTCTTACAAGACTAATTAAGTATCTGCTAATTAAATATAACCAAAGCAAATGAACCTTCTTTGAAAATGAATGCAAAAAAAAAAAGATTGATACTCCCATTTAAAAAATTTGCCTAAAATCAGCGAATTATCTGATTTAAATGAAATTTTCAGCTCTTTATTGTTAATTAATGACTTTTATATTGAATATATTATTTTATTGTGAAACATTGGGGAAATGTGTTTTTGTATCTTTACACCCCTTTAATCACATCATAAACACTTTGATGAGAGATTATGGTTAGAAAATTTTTCACAATTTTATAAAATCCTTGAAAATGTTTCGGCAAAACAATACCAATATGAAAATCTTGAAAATTTCTCTTGAAGCATTACAAAAAATTCAAAAGCTTTTTTGTGGCAATTTGGCACTTGCAGATTAGAAAAACTCAAATATCAATAAATCCCTATAAACTCATCATGCACGTGGTCACTAGATGCACTTGATTGAACAGATACTACAGGCTGATCTATTCTTACATATGTACATGCATTAAGAAGCATAGTTTCTGTCACAATGGCAGAACAGTACAGCGGTGCAGCAGAAACGGAAACACGGTGTTAAAAGCCTTTGGTGCAGATGCATTTTCAACTGATAGCTCAGTGCTCTTCTCTGACCTGGGTTTGATGATAAACTACGTCTGCATCCAGGGTAAGGTGATAAGCTACATCCAACAGCAAGGCTTCTGATTAGGAAGTTCTGAGGAGTGTGGAATCACCTTTTAATTGCTGGTGTTCCCAGATCCACGCTGACTTGGGGTGGGGGGGTCCCAACTATGGGCAAATAGTTAACCCCAAACTGGGGTCAAAACACTATGAAAGTGTAAAAAGAGGTTTTAATACTAGCAATAAATTTTTGAAGGAAAAATTATTACCAGCAATACATTTTTGAAGAAGAAAAAAACTATTACCAGCAATACATTTTACAAAAAAAAAAAAAAATTATTACCAGCGATACATTTTTGAAAAAAAATATTACCAGTGATACATATTTGAAGGAAAAAATATTACCAACAATAAAAATTTTGTAGGCATTAAATAACCCATTCAGACTGATATGCCGTAAAACAAATGAAACCAAACTCAGTGCTCTTCTACAAGATTTGTGAAAAGGCTGTGAATCAGAAAAAGAAGTATTTTGTAACATAGCATATCCAATCAGGAAAATATTTTTGTCTCACATTAAAATAGGCAATGATTTTTTTATTCAAGCTCATCCTACAATATCTACTCTTTGCTTGAAGAAGGTTGCAAAACAAGAAACACGTGTAGCAGAATTATGGAAAAAAAGAGTATAATATATATTTTATAATAAAAAATTCACATTTCAACCAAAAACGTTTGCAGTTTATCTTTTGAAAATATACACTTTTCTCATGGAACAACTATAAGCTCTCTCTCTCTCTCTCTCTCTCTCTCTATATATATATATATATATATATATATATATATAAAATTAGAAAAAGAGTTCACATATGCTTCATATAGTTTATAAAGCAGAGTAGAAAAGTTGGTCAATAAAACAAGTCAAACGAAATGGTATCGATGAAATTAGTATGGAAAACATTTATAAGGGCTTCATTTTTTGTTACCTGGTTAATAATAAATGTTTTTCATACTGATTTCATCAGTAGCCTTTTTTTGACTTTGTTTTATTGACCAACTTTTCCATTCTAGTTTTTATATATATATATACACACACACACACACACACACACACACACACTGTGACACTATCATCACAACCATCAAATTGCTTTCATAATTAAAATTAATGAATTGACTGATGAAGGAAGGAATGAATTAACATGTCCTAAACATGTAAGAAAATCATACAAAGTTGTACTAATAATACTTTTTGCATTAGCTTTGAGTTCTTGGTGGTATATACATTGTGTCATCTCTCTTTGTATGCTGTAGAAATGAATCACCACTGTTTTATTTCTTTCTTTATTATTATTAGACCAAGTTCATGACCTTTTTAGGCTTCCTCCACATGAACAGGAATTCACTTTTTGAATAATAAGATTTAGATGTTACGGGATGGGGATTGATAAGGATGGGGGATGGTGCATCCGGATTTTACAGATGCTTATGTGGGGGCCATGGATAAAAAAAATGCTGGGAACTAGACATTGAAATGAGTTCAAAAGTTATTGCCTATGTGAAGTTTAATATGGTAAAGATCTCTTCAAGTTTAAAGTGCATTTTCTGAAAAACTAATAATAAATACTGTGGATAACCTGTGAAACACTTTGGAATAGTGTGAAGTGATGAAAAAATAAATCCTTTTTTTTTTTTTTTTTTTTGATGTTTAAATATTCCTAAACAGAACTATTTATGATATGAAAATCAAAACAATCCTTGAATAAAAGAACAGTAATGAAAGACAGTTGATTAAGAAAATAAACATTTTTAAAATCAATATGCAAATTATTTAAACCTGTAATGATATTGCCTAGAAGTAGATAATATATAATATAGACATTGAACTTTTAGCACATAATAGGATCAAAGTGTAGTATCTGCGCTTTGTGGGCTGCCGGGTCGGGTGTCTGTCGAACTCTCTGCTTGCAGAGAGGAACCCGGACGAAGCTCTGCCAAAGGGTAGGGTTTCGTTGGGGGAAGTTGACGGAACTGGCCCGCCTCGGTGGGTTTGGATGGTTATTTATTTTTGGCTGGGCCTACGGGCTCAGAGATACCCACATCAAAAAGGCCTTGTGCCACATTCGATCCCCGTGGGTGGATTGATAAACACCATAAATTACTCTTATAAAGTGAAACATAAGATATATATCTGAGTTATGTTTTGTTTTTCTGCTTTATTTACAGTTGCCTCTACCCCAGGGTTAACGGTGAGAAGATCTAGTGATGTTGCTCTGCGGAAAGTTATTGAAGATAAAACCAAAGTTGAAATGGAATTAATGTCTTTAAAATCCCAATTGAAAAACCTGGAGCATGAAAATAAGTCTGTCAAATCACAGGTTAGAAAAATAATCTGGTTTTTGTTTTAAAATTTAAGGTAAAAAAAAAAAAAGAGATTTGAGTATATACCCAGTAAGTGTTTACTAATAAGCTCTGGTTGAAACAAGTGTTTGTCTTGAAACACGGTGAGTGGTTGCCCAGAGATTGATTGAAACAGAGTGAGAATTTGCCCAAAGACTATGGTAAACATGCAGCAAGTGTTTGCCTAGAGACATGTATAGAAATGCGACCAGTATTGAACTAGACACTTGGGTAGAGCATTTATACAAAGACTCAAGTAGGAATGCAGCCAGCATTTGTCTAGAGCCTTAGGTAGAAATGAGGCCAGTGTTTGCCTTGTGACCCAGGTAGAACTGAGGCTAGCAGTTGACCTGTGACTAGGGTAGAACTGAGGTCAACATTTGTCTAGAGAAATGTTTCTCAACCTTTTTTACTTAAAATATCAAATGAGAAAAGACATGACTTAAACATGGAAGCCATGTGCCTGGCATCTCTAGCTTTTTAAAAATAAAGATTTTTTTTTAAATATAAAAATAATTCATAAATTACTCTTCTGTTAAGTTGGAGTGCTCCTAGCTACCTTTCAGAGCACATTAGTACACATGGGCACACTGGTTGAGAAATGCTGGCCTAGTGATGAGAGTAAACATCAGTCTGAAATTTGTCTACATCAACTAATATAATAAAAAAAAAATGCAAAATTATTGAATGCAACATGGGCTGACATGTTATAAAAGTCATCAACCTCAACAAAATCTTGAAATCTGTTTCTAAGAACATAATTCAAAAGTTTATAATATTTGGGTGTTGTGTTCTTCAGTTGACTTATGTGACATGTGATGTGATCACATGATTCAGTGGATTGTTGTTTAATATGTGAAACAATATGTATAAGTTGTCTGATGATATGGGATTTTAGAAGAATACAATAAAGCATTGGAATTAACAAATCTGATTGGTCAGAAAATAATTTTAAACTTTTGGTGCAAACTGATTCAGTAGCATAGCAAGACTTCTTGGATCCTGACATTTTACCAAAACTAATTTTCATTATTTACATTATTCGGACTATTGTCAACATCTTTGTCGCCATATTTATTACAACAGTTTGGCTGTTGTATGCTCCGGCCTTCTTCAGGTGGTTGGAATGTTGAACTGAACCCTTTATTTCACTCACTGGGGTAGACTGTTCTAGTTCTACGTGCCATGTTATCAATTATCTCCTGTTAATTTCCCTCTGAAAGTTCTCCACTGCCTTAACTGGGTATTGAACTCACACTCTTTGGGTCCTGTCACTGGATCTAACCCCAGTGAGCGAAATAAAAGGTTCAGTTCAACATTTCAACCACCTGAAGAAGGCCAGAGCATACAACAGCCGAAACATTTTATTAAGATTAAATATTTATTTATTCATTCATTTAGTGTTATTGATATTGTTTTATTTATTAATTATTTATTTATTAAAATATTTATAATTAATTTATTTATTAAGATATTGAAAAATTCTTATAATTCTTTATATGAAAATTCTTAGTTTATGTTGAAATTAGGATAATTTGAGTAAAACTATTCAATTTCAGTGGTACTCGAGTGAAGAAACAGTAACACGTGTGTAGATGAAAGAAGAGAGGTTTATTGTAAAAGAGAATTCACTACTGAAAGACAGGGGATCGGGTGGCAGGCTAGTAATTCCCGAAGCAAACCCCCAGGCATATCCTGTGCTCACTATATATAGCTACTGATATAGTCAGTCCACATAGGTAATAGTGTAGGACATTCCATTACAACACATAGGAAAAAGCTCACCTGAACAATTACCATGAATGTATTTATAGAAAAGGCACAGGGAAGCAACCTTATGGTGGTGGGAAAGTGACTGGAGCTGAGCTGCCGAATCAGTCCCAATAATATTGCTGATTCTTCTTTGGATCTTATCAAGGTAAATAGCAGTGGCAATGGAGCATACGTGGCAGCAATATTTTAAGCATGGGCAATTGGTAGGCTTCAGTATTTATTAGTTTTATTTATCTTATTGTTACTTTTTATCATAATCCTCTTAGTTGAATACCGTTTGACTGTTAAAGTGTGTAGCACGAAATCATGATCAGAAGATGTAATTTAGTGTTATAAGAAAAGCAATAATAAGATGAAGTTAAAAAATGTATAATGTCACTGATTCGTGTTTACGTTTCTTTAAGGTGGACCAGTTTCAGACGGAGGCTGAACAAGAACGAGATCTTCAGCAGCAACTCCGATACAGAACAAACAGTTTGAAGACTGAAGTTGAAAAGTTGGAGAAACAGTTGGAAGAAAAGAAGGTAATTATTTTTTTTCAGCTGAAATTCTTTTATTTCAGGTCTTGTCATCGATGCTTTTTTAAACAACCACCATTTAGTCATTGGAAAGAAGTCTTTTCCATACTAGTTCTAATCAATAAATATCAGAGATCTTGTGGTAAAAATATTTCCCACATAAAATAAGGCATTAGTGACAATAGTGTTTTCATCAAGCTAATATCTCACCCTTAAGTGAGAGGTGTTTCTGCTGTATACTGTATATTCAATGTTCCTGCCTGAATTTCTGGAATGCTGAGTAATTTACATTCAGACTAATGTCCTCATCTTTGTTGTCATTATAAGAACATTTTGGTTGTTGTACACTCCAACCTTAATCAGGTACCTGATCATCTGGTTAACCTTTAGGAAATTTTGAACTTTTATTCAATTTATGGAGGTAGATTGTTCTTATTCCACTATCCATGCTTAGGGACAATAACATAATGAATTGGTTTATGAATCTGGTTGCATAGGAATTATGACTTTACTCTATAGAGTAATTCTATGGAAACATGGCGAGCGGTAAATGAGCAGTAGTGAAAAGGAAAGGGTGACATATCTGTAAATATAAATAATCTATCTGTTTGGGAAGTGTTTCTAGCAGAGGATGGAAAATGTGACATTGAAATTTGAAGATGCATTAGGATAGCCAAAGATGCCTTCCAAAAGTTAAGCAGAGTATGAAGAGATAGAAAAACTTCATTAGAACCAAAAATATGGGACTGAACTGTTATGTGATATCTGTCCTACTCTATGGCAGTGAATGCTGGACAATTTTCTCAAAGATGAAAAAGAGACTTGAAGCAATAGAAATGTGGTTCTACAGAAGGATGCTGAGAATACCATGGACCAAGCATGTGAGCAATGACAGTTTTAGAATGAAAACAAAAAGTACACTTATATTTAATGTCAGAAAGTGATAGTTGAAATTTCTAGGGCAAAAAAATGAGGGAAAATTGGAAAATTTAATACTCACAGGACAGGCAAGAGGGATAGATGAAAACAACATCTACTCAGCTTGAGTAAATAGATGGTGGAACAAGGTTTAGGAGAGAGAACAAAAAGACAAAATTTATTAAAAGCTACAAAGAACAGGAAATTGTGGAGATCCATGATCACCATGCTGAGGATACCATGGACTGAACATATGAGTAACGACAAACTTATATTTAACATCAGGAAGAGACAGTTGAAATTTCTGAGGCATGTAATGAGGAAGAAGATTTTTTGAAAATTTGTTACTCACAGGATAGATCTTGAGGGTAAGAGGAAAGCAATGTATAACATATTTGATGAGCTTGAAAAAATGAATGGAAGAACAGGGTTTTAGAAAAAAGAAAAGACAATTTATTTAGAGTTGCAAGGAACAGGAAATAGTGGAGTCATGAATGCCTACATTCTGAGTGGACACAGCACATAAGGAAGCTATAAGGTTCAGTTTAATATTCCCTGATGATTATCCAGATTGATAAACACCTGATGAAGGCCCGAGGGCACAACAGCCGAAACATTTTAATGAATTTTTTCTTTGATTTTTTTTTTTTTTTTTTTTTTTTTTTTTTCAATTCTGAAGCTTATTTCCAAATCACTGGAAAGATTTGTGTGCCCACTGCTGCTAGTACAAAGCATATAACCAACACTTAAGCTAAAAAATCTAATGTCATGTTCTTAAATAGCCTCGTCAGATTCAGACTTTCATACAGACGTCCTGTATTGCACCAGAGTCACACAGAAATATCTAAACTGTCAGCTGCATACAACCACCTTCTCAGCTCAATGCTTAAAAATGGCTTTGAGTGAATAAAGCCTGTAGTTTTTAACAAGGACCATCTTTCCTCAAACCTTGTGAACTGGCACTAGAGAATCACAAAAAACCATACCAAGTAATAGAAACCATATCACTTGAGGACTACCAACTGCAGTAACTACTAAAATGGATAGCACATGCAAGTTAACAAGAAAATAATGACATAATGAAGATGTTGACATTCCACACTACTTCAAAGAAAAGGTTAGGAAGGAAACTCCCGCCTCAGTCAATACTGGAAAGAGCAATAACAGCTACTGGACTTGAGAAACCTATTTTTCTGAAAAAGTCTTTTAATAGAAAGTTTTTATGAATTTCAAGTGTTGGTAGCATTGGCTGTTCGGTCAGTAAATACTGAATGTTTCCTTATAAGGAAACAGTTTAATATTACCATTTACCATTATTGATAACCACTCAGTGCGAAAACTTTTTCATGTGACAGACTCAATATTCTAAGTGTTGCCTCTTTGTCATTTTGATTTTTGGAAGGATTTTGGAATTTCCTGTTTCTGGATGTCAACCATTCTCATTGCAAGCAAAAGGATTTTTATTTATTTGTTGAAATTAGAGGGTCTATCTTAAGTTGATATACTGACATTCATTTTTTTTTTTGAGATGACAGTCTACTTTAATGCTATTTTGCCTCATTTTTTGGGAGACACGGTGGTGCAATGGATTGCAGCTTGGATTGAGGAATTGGAGAGCTAAGTTTGAATTCCAATCAAGTTCATTACATCCACATGTTGGAATACCCTTGGAAAAGCTAGGAATCCACCTCTTCTCCCATCAGCTATGGATAAATAGAAGGAAGACTTGGTTCTGTAGCCTTGGCTGGCAACTGGTCTAGGAGAAGGAAAACTCTGAATTCAAAACTGGCAAAGCATATCCTATGCAGCTAAGGAAATGATTGTTCCATATTAACTCAATGATCCCAACTACAGCTAACCTCATTTTTATTGGTAATTTTATTTTATTGTTTAATATCTTAAACTTATGAATAATCCACTTGGTTAGGGGTTGATGAAAAAGCTAGCTAATTAAAAGAAATTAAACCTCCTGTTTCTTTTTTGGCAGCAATTTTCAACATGTTTCCACTTCTTCATGTTATATATAACTATGTTGATATTTACTAACCTTAAACTAAAGAATCATCATTTGAAATCTTACACTTATTTGGGCTTTTAGAGGGTGGTTTGTTTCACCTTTATATTCTTTACCACAACTGCTGGGAATGGAGTACATGCAGTTCTTGGTCATGTTCTCTACTCTATTAGGCTTGAATCGACAAGTATTTTCCATAGAGTGGAGATCAGTTATGGCGAGATATTTTCCTGCAGTAGGTTGCCATTTCTTTCTGCAGTAAACCATTTGTCATCCAAGGTTATAGAACCTGGTCTGTCCTGCTATTTACCCATAGCTGGGAGGAAAAGAGAATTTATAGCTTTCCCAAGGGTATTAGCACATAAGTGAATGTAATGGATTTGACTGGAATTTGAACTCTGCTCTCTGATTCCGCAATCGAAGCTGCTATCCATTACTCCACTGGATACTTCTGAATATTACCCTGACATTATATGGACTATACAACTTCTGAATCTTTTCCTATAGGCTCTTGACATAAAAGACAGATTATATCAATTTTCTTGTCCCCCTCGTTAACCTTTGTTTTCACCTGCAGATGCTGATATTTGCAGGATAGTTGTTATTCAAAATGGTACGCTTAATGCTGTTCATTTCCACTTGGTGTTTTTCTGGGTTGCCTGTGTTGTAAACATTGGATAATCCCTTTCTTCACACTATATGAATGGTGGGAATTGAAGTTCAACTATTGTCTAGTGATGGCTGACTTGTGATATACAGATGTCTTGAACCCATTCTCTGTGCTGGTTATTAGTATATTCAGGAAGGCTAGCTGATTATTATTTTCTTTTTCCATTGCCATCTGGATTGAAGGTCTTATTGAATTCTCATGGCCCAGTGGTATTTTTACAGCTTCCTGGTGAGTCTTACAATCTAAAATATACTTCAGTTTTAAATAACCCACAAAGGGTTGTTAAACCATAAAAAATCAACTTGATCAGTCAGCAATAATTATTGATATCTGCTGGGTGACATATTCATATTTCCATATGTTAGAGTAAACTGAGATAAAGAAAAAAATAGATAATTGTTTTCTTATGTTTAAATTTCAGAAATCTGTGGAGAAACTGACAAGAGAGAAAAATGCATCTCACACTCAAGTGGAATTGCTTCGTAAAGAGGTGAAGGACATGAAGGTTCAAAAAGAACAATTGGAAACCTGGCAGGTGAGGGGAAAAAAATAAGGGTGGGGCTTCAGGTTCACAAAGTTTTAAATATGACTCATTAAGTTTTGGAGTTAGTCAAGATGACTAGTTTTTTTAAAATGTGCCTGTAGCATAGCAGTTATCCACATGGAATGTGGGATTAGTGTGCTGTGTTAAAATTCCAGCCAAGTTCATTGTGTTCACTTTTGCACAAATGCTATTGGAAAAGGTATGAATGAATCCATCTCTGCTCCTCCTCCTCAGCTACAGAGCCCAGTTTGCACTGTTATTTAACAAGGCTGATTTGGTTTTGTAGCCTTGGTTGGAAACCAGTCTGGTAGAAAGATAACTTTGAATTCAAAACTAGTTTGGTATAAGGGCAAGCAACTTCTCCCCATAAGAACTGTAGCAGTAATGCCTCGTGTAGTGAGCCAGTGACCCCTATTTTTTATAGGGAAGACTAATGGCAATAATCGAACTGACCCTACTATAAATACATTTTAAAGTTGTCATTCTTTCTCTCCACCATGTCTCTTCAAAACAAGATTGATCATGGTTCTCCACGTTTTCCCTAGCTTGCTTTTAGTAATATTTACTTCTCCTCTTATTCTTTGTGTTATTTGTTCTGGCTTCCATTCGCTCATATTTCTCATGTGAAGAAACACAGCGTTTAAAAAAAAAATAGTGGAAGGGACAGAAAGATCCGCAACCCTGTCTTGATTGTTTTGACTTTCATCAAGAATGAGCAATTTAGACTAGGCATCGACAACATTTTCTGACCAGTGGGCCACATGAGATATGTCTCATCATGAGACAGGCTGCACTACTAAAAAAATTCAAGATAATTTTACATTGAAAATACCTCAGCAATTTTCACTGTAGAAGAACATCTGCCTTAGAAATGGGGAACATTTTTATTTATTTTTTTTATTTTTTATTTTCTTTTGAGAAAAGATTTTTTCTATAATTAAAAAATTGAAATCTTGGTATAATATTAATACAGATGATAGTGTGATTAGCATACACTGCTTTATAGGATTTTTTTCTAATTTATTCCCTTGAAAAAAATTATTTTTAAAGAAAAAAATATATATTTCTTCTTAAGAGAAAAAAAAAATTATTATGGATGTTTCTGGCATCAAAAGCAAAAGATATTTACGTGTATGATCTTCCTTAGTGAAAATTGCCAAATGTTTAAAACAATGAAAACGTTACCTTAGATTCATTGGACTCAATCCCAGTCTGTCTTGTCTTGAAGTCAGATTGCTGTGTTCGTTTATTCAAATTTACTCTTGTGTGTCAACCCCAATACTTAGTTTGTGAACCTTTTGCCATATTACTGTTGCTTTGCCTTATTACTGATAATTTTCCATTGTTTGCTTGCTTTATTTTATTTTTTTTTTGTCCTGTTCTTTTCTTTCTCTTGTTATTGTTGATTGCAAACTTTGTCAATTCTTTTTTGTAGGACAGTTCTACCATTTATCTACATTTAACCATAGCTACCTCCTCTACATACATATTTTCAAAACTTACATTGCCTGCTGTTGACATTTAAGACACTGTTTTGAAGACACTGTAAAGTGCCTATCCCTGTCATTTATCTTATAAACTTCCTAGCACTTAGTGAAGTTTCGAAAACAGCATAGACATATAGTAATATAAAATACAACTTGGTTTTAACATTTTTTTTATTGTATGTTGGGTGTGTTGTTAGCTTAGTCTATACTGAAGGATATTTGACGTAATGTATGGCGCCCATGAGAAATTACCATGGCAATTTCCTATTTTTTCTAAAATGGTATAGAACAGCTAGGCAACAATGCTATAACATTGCAACAGTGAAAGTTTTAATCTCCCAGCCAATTCCAAAGGGACAGCACAGCCAGGCAACAATTCTATAACAATGCAGCAGTGGAAGTGTTAATATTCTTCCCCTGAAAAATTACCAAATATTATTTTTAAGGTTATTCATTTATATGGAGACTCTGGAGATTAAAATGAAAATTTTACAGTGAATCTTAACTAGAGTAGTCCATTGATAAATCAAGTTCATGTGACTAAATTGGTCAAAATTTTAATAAACGAAAAAGATTGTATAAAAAAATATACTTTAATTGATGGAGCTTATCTTCATGGCAGTAAAATCCAGATAGATTTTGTATGATGGCAAAAATGTGTGGTACCCAATGAGGATTGATCTCGCTACAGTAGTAATAATTTGATAGACCAGCTTATTAACTATTACTTCACAGTGAATTGTTCAAACTATATTTTGGTATCACCTGCATCATGTGTACTCAAGTGGATTCCTACAGCCATAACATGGCTTCCCTGTGCCGTTACTATAAATATTTTCAGGGCAATTGTTCTGGTGAGCTTTCCTCCTCAGTTCCTCAGCTTCATGCATTTAAGTGCAGTACTAGATTGGCAGCTAGGTCTCATTTTACTGTTGAAGTTACTAGATTTAACCATAAGTTCTATTTTAATAGTTTTTTCTCTTACCTGCTGAACTCTCTTCCTGCTTTTTGGTTTCTTGTCAGCTGCAATCTGCAATCTGCAAAAATGTAAATGTAATGTCAATCATCATCTTTTGTTTCTTTGAATCCTGATTTTTTTTTAATTGTCCTCTCTCTTTAATGGTGATTCTTTAGCTTCCTTCACTTTATTGTCTTTTATCCTCTGTAACTCCCTTGCATATTAGCGGCTTTATTGCCTTGCTTGGAGTGTAATGATTAAAAAAAAATGTTGTATTTTACTTTTTTGAAAACAGGACATAGCAGAGATAATGAGCAATGATAAAAAAAGCCTCAGTGAAAAAGTGGATATCTTGACTACGGAACTTAGTGAAATGCGGATGGAGCGGGATTGCATCCTTGAGGAAAAGCATCAATTGTCAAAAGACGGAATGGTTCTGTCAAGCCAGCTGGATGAAGCCCACAGGGAAGTGGACAGGTACAAGTCTGACTATGATAAGGTAACAAAGGATTACGAGAGGCTGGAGAATGCCAAACTTGAACAGGCCAGCCGAATTGATGATCTGCAAACAGACCTGAAAAACTTGTCAAAAGATAAGGAACTCTTAGAGGAATCATTCCAGAAGGAGAAAATGTACAAGGAGAATTTGGTTATCACTGTAGAAGAACTGCGAACAGATGCAGAAAAATATAAACTTGAAATCCAGGAATCTGCAAAGAACCAGGTAAAATGTTTCTCATTTTTACTCTATATTTTTTTGCTCATATAAGAAAAATAGTTTTATAAATGCAATAGTTTTATAATACAAAGTGATTTTAATATATAGTCAAAATAAGCTAACATCTAAAGTATGAGGTCTGCCTGAAAAGTAAGGGGACTGAGTATGGTGTGTGAGCCATGATCAAAAGAGGATTAATGGATTGTGTTATCATCTAACAGGATATCTTAGGAGTATATAACTGTAATCTTAGCTTTCTGCAACCATTGCATATTTTTTCCACATACTTTTATGGCAAGACAAATCTTGGCTGCTTCACTGACAATGTACCTGCTCAGAACGCCTTGAGCATCTGGCAGTTTTTGCTCCATGTCACTTTTTTTTTTGATATTGGTAAAGAGAATGAAAATGTTAAATTAGTCACCTATGTGTATTTTTACTGGATATATTATGATCATGAAAGTGTGTTAGACCATTTTGCTGATAAGTTGTAATCACAGAAAGAACTTCACTGCAGATTTGTGAAAGATGAAAATGAAGATTAACAAATTCATTTACCGTCCTGGGTATGAGGATAAACTACATCCACGTCCTGGATAAGACGATAAACTACATCCAACAACAAGGCCTCTGATAAATACGTTTTAGAAAAATATAATGTTACCAGATGTACGATTTTGAAAAAAAAATAATATTACCAGCTATACGGTTTTTTTTTTGGTTTTTTTTAAAGAATGGTAGTGCCGGCTATACGTTTTTGAAAAACATAATATTACCAGCTATATATTTTTGTGGAAAAAATATTGACAGAAATAGATTTTTGACAAAACAAAAATATTACCAGGAAAAAAAAGTTGTCGGCATTAAATGACCCATTGAGGTTGACATGCCATAAAACAAACCAAACCAAATTCATTTGTTACTGCTATGTACACTTGGCACTGATAGAATAAGTCAATTAGAAGTCTGTTTGTACAAATTATGTCAAAATTCGTAATAGGTCATTGAATAGAATTAGCTTGGTTAATGAACTGACTTTTCACCAATGGTATACGGAGGGAATGTGAGTGGTTTGCTACTATGTAAGTAGCATGGTGGGTCCTTGCCGTGAAGGTTAGGCCTGGTGGAACCAAGGAATATAGTTTGTCTGAGCACTTTCCATGAAAGTAAAGTAGCAAGAGGCTTGCCACACCCCACCTGTAAGAGAGAGGTTGGAGGGTGGAAAACAATTTGTCACCCACAAGGACTTGGAGATGCTTTGTTAGGGTAAAAATGAGTCATGCCTTTGTTGTGGGATTTTACACTATTGATACAAGTGTGTATAGTACTGCACTTAAATTCATACACTCTAGGTACCATAGTGAAGAGCTCATCCAAACAATTACCCTGAAAGTATTTATAAAAAAGGCACAGTCAACCTTACGGTGATGGGTAATTGACTGAAGCTGAGCCACTATATCAGGACTAATAATATTGCTGATTCTGCTTTGGATCTTATCAAGGTGCTCCAGGTAAATAGAAGAGGCACCGTACCATATGTGGCAGCAATATTCTAAGCATAGGTGAATGGTAGACTTGTAGATACGCAAGATGAATTCAAGAGAGAAAAATTGTCTTGCATGGCACAGTGAAATCTTTTAGCAGTTGACCTAGCAATGGACTCAATATAGCCTTTCTATTTCATGTCAACTGAGAACATTAGCCCAAGAAGGCACAACGAGTCACTTTCCTTGTGGTTAGCATTAGCCATGCTGATGGAAGGCAGACAGGGGTCTCTCACATGGTTAATGGGGAGAAGTTTACTTTTGGAGATGTTAAAATTAACAAGACATCTTTTATCTCAATTAATGACAATCTTGAGGTTGTTTTGTACATAAGTTGCCATTTTGGCCTTGTGAAAAAACAAACTGAGAAAATTAATATTTTTTTCTGTTTTTTCGGTAATAAAAAAGAATTTTACTTACTTTGCAGTTGCACAAATTTTAATGTTCAAAGCATGAGAAAGGCAGACCTATCTTGCGCAATGGTGGTTTTCTAGATAAAACATTCAGATTTTAGAAAGAGACGTTCACAGATATGAGATTAAATCTTGTAGGTTTTTAATGATGATTCTTCTTTCTTCTGTGACAATGCCAGTAATAGTAGTAGTATCAATCTTTCTTTTATTCTACTATCGATATCCAAAATAACAATCTCTTTTTGTCTGAGTCAGTCGATGCTTTCTGTCTTCACATTCAAAACATAGACTTTTTATTATCAGATAATGGCTCCAACTGTATCAAAATCAACCCTTTTTAGGGGCATATATTTTTAACCACATTGATTAAAAATGCAAGAATTCCTATCCAAATAAACTGTGACTTTATTTTGGAAGGTTTTTTTAACCACATCAAACTTGAGCTTCTTTTCTGCAAATTTTGCTAATAGATGTTTGTTTTTTTTTTCTTATAAACCAACTGATTTCATTTTTCTATTTTTTCTTTTCTAATTCTCTTAATTAGTTTTTCATACAATTTTAATATTCTTTTTTTTTTTTTTATTATGAATAATTTTTATATTAATCTTTATGCAATTCCAACATTTTCTATTATATAATTAATTTTTATAGTAAAAATGAAAATGTTAATTTTCTCCCTGCAGATTGTGATTGTACATCTACGAGAACAAAACAAACTCTTGAGTAAAGATTTAGAAGAGACCAAAATGCAACTGCAGGAAAAACAAACAGAAAATGAAGAAACTCGAAAAAAAGAAGTAAGTATTATTTTGTGGAGATAATTTTTTTATATTTGGATTTTAAAACCAAAGAAAACAAACTAATACTCCATTTGACTATTCTCCTGTTGTATGTTTGGTCACAATTTGTCCTCTTTCTTTACCCTCTCTTAGTGACCATTTTCCATCTTTCTTTGTTGCTTCTCTGTCAGTCTCACTTTGCTTTTTCTTATCTCTTTTCTTCAAAATATTGAAATCTATAAGTAACCATTTTTTATGCTTTTTTTTTTCTATAGCAACAAATGGATGTAGATCATCAAGAAACTAATCAAAGGTAAATGCCAGTCATGAATTTCTTATAAAAAGGAAATTTGTTTTTTTTTTTTTTTTTTTGTGATGTCAATTAACACTTGTTGCAACTTTTTAATGTCAATGAATACTAATCACTTTTGTAATTTCTCATTGTAGTGGAGACTTTGTAATCTACAGATACAACTGTAGAACACTGTTGAACAATGCTGGTGTCAGATGCTTTCAAATACCACTCACACTAATAATACTTGTTCAAACAGTAATCCATGTAGTGAAATAGTATAGAGCTGAATAGTAATAGAGGATAGAGTAGAAATGGTGATCCGAATAGTAATAGAGGATAGAGTAGAAATGGCGATCCGAATAGTAATAGAGGATAGAGTAGAAATGGCGATCCGTATAGTAATAGAGTAGAAATGGTGATCCGAATAGTAATAGAGGATAGAGTAGAAATGGCGATCCGAATAGTAATAGAGGATAGAGTAGAAATGGCGATCCGAATAGTAATAGAGGATAGAGTAGAAATGGTGATCCGTATAGTAATAGAGGATAGAGTAGAAATGGTGATCCGTATAGTAATAGAGGATAGAGTAGAAATGGTGATCCGTATAGTAATAGAGGATAGAGTAGAAAATCCGTATAGTAATAGAGTAGAAATGGTGATCCGAATAGTAATAGAGGATAGAGTAGAAATGGCGATCCGAATAGTAATAGAGGATAGAGTAGAAATGGCGATCCGTATAGTAATAGAGTAGAAATGGTGATCCGAATAGTAATAGAGGATAGAGTAGAAATGGCGATCCGAATAGTAATAGAGGATAGAGTAGAAATGGTGATCCGAATAGTAATAGAGGATAGAGTAGAAATGGCGATCCGAATAGTAATAGAGGATAGAGTAGAAATGGCGATCCGTATAGTAATAAGATAGAGTAGAAATAGAGATCCGAATAGTAAGAATGGCGATCAATTAGACATAATGCTACCTTTCATATATGTGTTTCCTCTATGGTCATGTAGTCTACTTAATTCAATAATGGGATCGCCTGTGTTTGCTCACTGGTGATCTATGTTCAAACTCAAGTGTCAGCAGTGACACTTTATTCCTATATAACAGGGTTGAATTTTTATTCAAACGCTTTAATGCATTCAGGCAACACTGACTTTCTTATGACAGGAAATAAATGCAGAAAGATTGCTTAATGATTCCTCTTACTAATTTGACTCGAACTTTTACTCTGACTGATACTAAGATTGACTATTTGATACTAAGTCTTTTATTGATATGCAGTGTGTGGATGTAGTAGTAGGTACATGAAGATGTAGACTAACTCACACTCTTTGGGTCCTGTCACTGGACCAAACCAATGCCTTTATCTACTTTGCTATGTGTCCTTGAAGAGTGTAAGTTCAATACCTGGTTAAGGCAGTGAAGAAATTGGAGAGGAGAATTAACAGGAGATAACTGAAAACTGACATCTATTAAACATGGCATGTGGAACTAGAACAATCTACCCCAGTGAGTGAAATAAAGAGTTCAGTTCAACATTCCAACCACCTGAAGAAGGCTGGAGCATACAACAGCTGAAACGTTGTGATAAATATGGCGACAAAGATGAGGACAATAATCCGAATAATGTAAATAGTGAACAAAATTGTAGTCAAGTATTTTATGTTTAAGTTAACCTCCTTGAAATTTTTGTTGAGTTTTGAAAATACTTTTGTGCCATTTAGTCTGAATTGTTTTTTTATTCTTTCCTTTAGACTTGCATCTGAAATTGAAGATCTCAAGACAAAACTGCAGATTTCCTTGGAAGAACTTGGTAAATCTCGGGAGGCTTTTGATGATTTGCATCAAGAGCGACAGTTGACGGTGAAAAATCTGGAGATGAAATTGCAGGATGTGCAACTGCAACTAACAGATACAACATATGAACAGGAAGATAAACAAAATAAAGTTAGTTGCATTAAAATCCTTTCTTTACAAAATAAAGTGAATATGGCACTGAGACTTTGTAAATCTGTGTTTAACTTTGCAACCACTTGAACGGAAAACTGCATGAGGCAGAGTTTGTTATAATGAAGTGGATTTCTTTTAGAAATATTTTCTTGAGCAAAGATGAATAAAATGCAATAAATCTCTCTCTCATGTTTATATTCTATAAAATTTGCTTTATTTATAGGAGTAGAATTCACAATGATGGAGGTAATGTTTGTCAATATAGAAAGTATAAACATAAAAAATCTACATAGAACTTTTGTCTGAAGACCACTTCAGATGTGAAATGCATATATCCATTATAGAGCACTCTTCTCACCATCAATAATACAAATTCTTTTACACCCCAGATATATATATATAGAATTGTATTCCTGATCTAACCAAACTCAAATAATTATACCAATCACACTTCTACATGCCTATCCAGATATATATATATATATATATATATATATATATATATATATATATATATATATATATGCTAAGTGACAAAATTTTACTCACATTAATCATTTTTATATATATACACACACACACAGGGTGTGATGGATAAATTGTCATCTAAATTACACAAAAATGAAAATAACATTGAAATCTCATTTTAATAAATATATTTACCAAAATTACACAGAAAATACCTTGAAATACTAAAGAGTGGATTTATTCAATAAAATTGCCATTGGCTTCAATGACAGCCTCCCGATGAATTAGGAATCTCCTGCAACTCTTCTGGATGGTCTCCTTATTTAAGTTGGTGAATACTGCTTTACCTTCAGTTCATCTTTTGTATTACAAGAAGATTTGTTGGTCTCTTGCTCAATTGAGCCACGCACATGATAATCAAGGGGGTTGCATTTTCAGTGAATTAAATGGCCAGATGTAAGAGGTGATGCAGTCACAGAAATTATCTGACAGCCATGACTGGGTTCTCTTGCTTGTTTGGCATGTTGAAGAGTCCTATTACCAGACATACAGTCTTCCAGCAGCCACTCCCTTGACCCAGGGCAGCACTACCTCCTCAAGGCACTTGATGTAGGCCTCAGTGTTGAGTCTGAGGCCCTGTGGGGAGATGAATCAAAGCATAACATTGCCATCACCCATGATCACTCCAAACACCTTTGTAATCACCATTAGAATCATCCAATTATTTCTGAATCCTCTGAACTGTTCTCAGATTGGCACCTAGACACTCTGAAATGTTTGTATTGGAGTGTGAATGTCAAGCAGTCCAGCATGTCATTTTCAAATTTCCTGGTAGAGTGAATTGCATCATGGTGTCCTTTTTCTCACAAATGGTGCCCAACTGACCCTATTCTATCAAAAACAATGTGCATGTGTGAAGTTAAAAATATAAAATGGTGACAATTTGTGTGTGTGTATATATATATATATATATATATATATATATATATATATACACACACTAGTTAAGCAAAGCTTGAATTAATGCTTTCAAACATATACTTCTTTCTTGATCAACGTAAACAATGGCATCATATCATACATAGGAAATGGATTAAATTTGACAAATCTTTAATATATTTTCTGTTTGTACATTATTTTTTATGGATACACTTATTTAAGTTAATACTCTGTTCTTTAATTAAACAGTATAAATTACATTTACCAACCGTAAGTTCCTGAGTGGGTATTTGAACTCGTAAATAATGTCGGTTCTTTGTAGTTTTGATTTTGCACTTGTTATTTTTGATGATAAGATTAATTAGTTTTAAATTTTTTTAATAGATAAATAATTTAATTTTCTTCTTCTGATTGACTGGGGTAGTGTATTTCTTTGATAATTCTAAGAGAACATTTATCTTGCTTACAGTTTGATGTGCATTTGGCTTTTGTAGAAGATGTTAATATTATTGTTTTTGTCTGTGTATTCAGTATCATTATTGGTTACTTTGGAAAGAAATACTCTAATCTGGTGGTCAATGAGGTAGTTAGGAAAACCATTGTTAACTAATGTCTGTTTTGCATTGTTGAGTTTTTGTTGAGACATCTACATTTCCTTAAGGAATTGTATTCCTGATCAAACCAAACTCAAATAATTATACCAGTCACACTTCTACATGCCTATCCAGATTATTTATTTTATGCCTATCTGACCACAGCTCCATGAGAACTCATTTAAACATGCACAATAACCTACCAGACTTCATCTGAAACATGTGAGTAGAAAATACAAACATCACAACCTTATCCACATTTAAAAAAAGATAAAAATTAATGGAATTAAAGGAAAAACCAACACTCAATAACATTAACTATGAACATGGCCACAATATGCTGACCGTGTTTGGAAAATAAAACATCCCTATAACTCTAGCTACATATATAACACAACTCCCGCATTCATTTAAAAGTAAAATAAAGCCATGCTGGATAATGGCTAAAAGTATAGCCAAAAAGGCTCAAGAATGCAGAATTTTAGTTTATACACATTTTGTGTCCAGAAAAGCAAACACTTGTGTGAACACAAGAAAAATTAAATAAAAAGCTTAATTGCAGTACCTTGTCAGTCATCTTTAATGAAACATGTATAAAAGAGGGATTACTGCTTATATATCTTTATTTAATCATTGTCACCCTAAGCAAGACAGTACAGCCACTAACACATGGGGGTGGGTGGTGGGGCTACAGGGTGTGGAAGAATTAAAAAACAGAAACATTAGTAATGAGTAGAAAGAGAAAAGAGCAGTCAGAAGGACAGTAGATAGTGATTGACATTGCATTTAAATTTTTGCGGATTAAAGTTGTCTGGAAAGCATAGTGCTGGAAGAGAATTTCACAAGTAAGAAGTGCAAGAAAACAAACTGTTAGTGTGAAGTTACAGCTACATCTAATTAACTCAACTGTAAATTGATGTGATCTCACTGCCAGTTTAGTATTGCACTGAAATTCATACAGTCTAGGTACCATAGCAAAGAGATCATCCGAACAGTTACCATGAAAGTATTTATAGAAAAGGTACAGAGAGTCAACCTTATGGTGGTGGGCAAATACTGAAGCCAAGCTGCCAGGTCAGGATCAATAATATTGCTGATTCTTCTTTGGATCTTACCAGACAATATATGGCAGCAATATTCTAAGCATGGGTGAATGGCAGACTTGTAGATATGTAAGATGAATTCAGGAGAGAAGAATTGTCTTAACCAGCACAGTGAAACAATTTTCTTAGCAGCTGACCTAGCAATGAATTCAATATAATGTTTCCATTTTATGTCAACTGAGAATGTTAGCCTGAGAAAGCATAAGTCACTTTCCTATAGGTTAGCATCAGCCTTGTTGATGGAAGGCAGAGAGGGGTCTCTCAGATAATTAATAGAGAGAAGTTTAGTTTTGGAGGTGTTAAAATTGACAAAACATCTTTTGCCCCAGTTAACGACGGTCTTGTGGTTGTTTTGGACAGCAGCTGCCATTTTGACCTTTTTGTTGTTGGTAAAAATTTTTTCTCATCAACTACTTTGTTTTATTCTGCCAATGATTATATTTCTAAAGAAGTGTCAGCTGAAAGGCGCCTTAAATTTTAAAAAAACATTGTGATACTTTTTTTAATAATAAATTATGATGTCCTTAAGATTATTTTATCCTGTTGTAGCAACAATAACCTCTTAAAATATATAATTTAAGTAAAAACAGACCACTTTAAGGGTCCATGTAATAAATTATTTCACCACAGCCCTTTTAAGGACTGCGGATCCTCAGACTTTACTTCCAAAGGTTGAAATGATTTATTTTTTTTGTTTCAACCTTTGGAAGTAAAGTCTGATGATCCGCAGTCCTTTAAAAGGGCTGTGCTGAAATAATTTATTACATGGAACCTTAAAGTGGTCTGTTTTTATTTAAATTATTTGTTCTGGATTTACATTTAGCTCTCTGGATCTTATCCTCCTTGGGTCTACTCATACAGATTACCTAGTTTTTCATAAACTAATATATATATATATATATATATATATATATATATATATATATTTTTTAAAAATATGTTTACATTGCGACACAGAAATTTCTGTTTGAAAACTGAAACTTCAATCTCAAATTTAATTATAAAAATTAAACTTAAAATCCAGAGTTTCATTCCATTGTCAAGTGATGCTAAGAATAAATTTCTAAGAAACTGATTTACTTTATTTATAAGCTTAGACAATCTTAATATTTTGAGTTTTTAGGGTTAAGGAAAATACAATTTATTTTAATTAGGGGTGGTTGGTTTTAACTTTTTACAACAACTCATGTATCTAATGTATGGTGATTACAAAGTCGGTTAAGTTTAGGTGGGGGTTAAGGTATTTGTTCATTGACAGAGACTTCCTTTTTCAAGCAGTCTTTTTGATACTGTCTATGTTTTCAACACATCGTCTGGGTTACAATGACAATATATTTGCCATTTTTAGTTCTTTATTTCATTCTTATTTTTATATACGCAAAGAATAATTATAATATTATGCTCTACTGTTGTATCAAGCAGTTTTTTTTTTTTTTTTTTTAAAATAAATGCTAAGAACTCTGGATTATAAATCTCATTGTTCCTTCCTATTAATATATAATTTGTTCACTTATGACTTTCTCTGCTATGAGTTTTGAGGAATTACATCCACTCTTCAGGATACTTGATGGATAACCTGCTAAAGGAGTAGTGGCAATTGGTCTGTATATCACATTGTACCATAAAACTGACAGTCACCATGATTGATTCCTGTATCCACTCTCTCTCTCTCTGGATGCTTTTTCAAGCTCTTAATATATAATTGTGTGCATTGTTTTTCAGGTTGTACAGTTGCAAGCAGAGGTTGATAAATTGAAAGATTTACTGGAAAAGAAAACAAGTGAAATGGAAAATATACAACAAAATTATTTGCAGGTAAATATAAATATACAGGTTGTATCAAAAATACTTTTTACAAATTTGTGGCTCCACATAACGACTGATAACAAATGTTCAAAATGTCCTCTGCATGCTTCTACGCATGCACTCAGCGGATCATTGACTGGCAAACCTTAAATACTCCTACATGGTGTCAAATGGTTTTGCAGGCCTCCATCACATGTTGTTGATAAAACATCTCTCCATTATTAATATCTGCTACATAAACCAATTTTTTTAGATAAACCCACAGATAAAATTCAAAGGTTTGGAGAATGTGCTGCCAATAGAACCTATCATTCATGGTAGATTCCAGTCAGTGCATTGTGAACAATGTGAGTAAAATATGTTAGAAACCCATCATGCATGAACCGCATACATCTTTGTATTAGCTGGGGTACATCCTCTAGCAGGTCTGGGTATCCTGGGTACGATGATAAAATACATCTGCATCCTGGGTAAGATGATGAATTACATCCAGCAGCAAGACCCCTGATCAGGAGGTTTTGAGGAGTGAGGAACCACCTCTTAATTGCTGGTGTTCCCAAGTCCACACTGACCCGGGGTGGTAGCACCTGTTAGGGTCCCAGCTATGGGCAAATAGTTAACCCTGAAGCTGGGGTAAAAACACTATGAAAGTGTAAAAATAGGTTTTAATACCAGAAATACTTTGTAAAAAAATTATCACCAGCAAAAAATTTTTGAAGAAAAAAAACTATTACCAACAATACATTTTCGGGAAAAAAAAAAAATTATTACCAGCAATACATTTTTGAAGGAAAAATATTAACAGAAATAGATTTTTGATAAAACAAAATGTTACCAGCAATAAAAATTTTGTCAGCATTACATAACCCATTGAGGTTGATATGCCATAAAATAAAACAAACCAAACCAATCTAGCAAGTCTGGAGGCGTGTTCACAATAAGGTGCCTGTAGACGTCTCCTGCTTTCAGACAGCTACAATTCCAGCCCACGCATTAATTGTAAACTAATGCTGGTGTCTAGCCTGTATTGTACCATGGGGATGCCAATCCACTCATAAATGTTGATCATGTAAATTTGTTATTCCATCTCTTCCAAAGATTGTCTCATCCATAAGCAAGACGGAAGAGACAAACAACAGATTGGCATTTTGTGGCAAAAGTTCTCTTATTATGAGTTTTCAGAGGGCAAAAGACCCTGCACATGTTGCAAATGACATGGATACAAGAGTCGCTCTCCATGCGGTACTATGCGATGTATGACTTGATGTGAGCTGATACCTGGATCATTTCTGACAGCCTGTAGAATGTATTCTTCATTGTCATGTATTCAAGACTCAGTCTTCTTCAATCTATAGTTTGTGGTGCCACAGGTCCTGTTTCAGAAATGCAACAATAAACAGAAGCAAAAGTTGGATGACTTGGCTGCCTTCAGTCTGGAATACAGCCCTGCAGCCTCATGTCCATTACCATTCATGTGGCTGTATGTAAAAATCATATCTGCCTGCTCATGATATTAATATCCTGCCATTGTTAAATGGGACAATTATCAGTTAACTCACTACTACACGTTTAACATTGAAGACAGACTAGCCAAAAATATACATGAATAACAAATGTAACCTAGTCTACATGAAAATACAGTGCCATCTCCTGTAAACTTTATACTTAACTCAAAAACGAAAGATTTGCAGACATGTTTATATGAACTTTTGTCTGTGTTTTGGTGTGAGGAACGCACCACATATGTTTGTAAAAGTATTTTTGATATTCCCTGTATATAAAATTTGAGACCAGCCTCTGGATTTAACAATTACTAATCTTCATAACTCTTTCTAGGCTACAATGCTAAAACTATTTAACCCATTAGTGCCTGGGGTTCAATACTTTTAGAGAGTAGATTACCTAAAATTTAAACTCTGACTATCCTAAGAGCCAGCCAGGTAGATTAGGCAAAAAGAGAGAAAATTTTAAGGAGACTTTATGCAGTGATGGGTTAATTTCAATTAAGAGCCCTCCACAGGAGCTAGCTTAAATGCCACCCAAGAGTGTTGGCTTTTAAGCTAGTATTATATATATATATATATATATATATATCGCTTATACATTATTTTTATACATACAATACTCTGTTTATAAACAGTATTAACAACATTTACTGGCCTGAATGTCTGAGAAATTTAATAGGAAAAAAGTGTCTTCTGACAGGAATTTAACCTGTATCCTACATGAACCATCATATGCCATTTAGCTACAGAGGAAGCATCCGGTTAGCAATATATATAAATCTATTTAAATAATTGTCAGACTTAATCCATTTCATAATATATGATGTCATTTGTTTACATTAAGATATGCTTTGAGCAGATATGAGCATTCGAGAGAAATCATGGGAAATTTGTAGTTTAAAACAGTAATTCGACCAGTTGATAAAAGCATTGGTTATAATTGGATAATCTTTTGTTTTTAATTTTTTTCTTCAGGAACAAGAAGATTCCCAAGGAAAAATCCAAATGGTTGAAAGTGATCTGAGTAAAAAATTGGAAGAACTTAAGCAATTAAAACAAGAGGAGGAAAACAACCTGGTGGTACAGTTAGATGATCTTCAGAAACGGTATGAAAGCGTGAGTGTACAACTTCAAGCAGTCATCGCAGAGAAGACAGAAGCAGAAGCTAAGCTAACACTGACCAGGGCTGATTGTGACCAATCAAAGACATTAGTATCTAACTTGGAAAACAACCAAAAGGACCTTAAAGAGGAACTACGACTGGTGCTGGCTGCCAAGGATGATGTTTCCCAGAAACTGGTGCTCACTCTCCAGAAACTTGAGACAGTTCAGCTTGAATTGCTCAATAAGAAAGCAACAGATGGCAAGATAGATGAGGTGGACAGAGATGTGGAGTGGGAAGCAAGAAGTGTTCACTTTCAAGGGAGTGCTGTAGGTAGGAATGGTGATGGACGATCTACAGAACCTTCTCCAAGAGACTTTGTGGTTTCTCTGCAAAACGGCAAGATGTCTAATAGTTTTGAGAATGGAGATTTGGATAAATCAACACAAAATTTAATGAAAGGACAAAAGGTAAGGGATTTTCTAAGTTGCCGGAATTTATAAGTTTTAAAGGAACCAAGTTCTGTTCTGATTTTCTGTTTTTTTTGGTTTTTACACAGTAACTGTTTTAATTAGTCAAACTAAAAGAAAACATTTACAAACAGGATTGCCAAATTGGGTGACAAGTAACAAGGCTACTTTCAAAAGGCTAGTGAAACTAGTGAAATGACCGACTTCATATTAGTAACCCAAGTTAACGCCACTTTCTTTTTTCTTTTTAAGCATTTCACCTCAAGCAAATTGGAGTGCCACTAGTACACAAAGGGTTAGAAAAGAAGAGAAAAGACTGGGTATGGGGGGTGGGGATTGAGGAAAGGATAAAAAGAAGAACTGGGATCAAGGCAGCAGATGTCGATTGACATTACATTTAAATTTTTGAAGATTATAGTTGTCAGGGAGGCAAGTAAGAGGAAAGAAGTTCCACTGTCAGGATGTGTGAGAGAAGAAGCTGTTGGAGTAGAAGAGGTGATGACATTTAACTGTTTTGACAGTAAAAGGGTGGGACCAAGATGCCAGAGCAGTTACCATGAAAATATTTGTAGAAAAGACAGAGGGAAGCCATATCACGTCTGTCACTGGTGTCAAGATGTCAAGTCAGGAATGATCATATTGCATATCTGTCTTTAGATTTTGTGTGGTCTCAATTTCTGGAATGAGGAGCTATCATTATTTACATTAGGGCTATTGTCCTCATCTTAGTTGTTGTCATCCCAACATTTCAGCCATTGTGTGTTGCTTTATATATTATATTACTAGTTAGACATTTATTAAGTGGACAGTTGTTTTTTGTTTCGACAATTACAATTATTGTTGCTATTTTGCAAATTTTTGTCATTGAAATTGCTATTATTTTTGTTTGTTTTTTTTTTATTATGTTTATTTTTTATTTTCTCCATATTATTCATACAACTATAACTGATTTTAATTATATTTTTATTGATGATTTTTGATAGTTTACTATTTTTAGGGAAGTGTTTTTCAATTAATTTAAAAACTATTTTTCTTATTTTTATTATGTTATTATAAGCTGGATTAAAACAAATTATATTTCTTTTTCTTTTCTTTTTGTATGTATTATTGTTAGTTATGTATTCTAATTTTTTTAAATAACCACTTTTTCTTAATGCTGAATCATATATTTTTTTTCATTAAATATTTTTATATTGCTAGAAATAGTTGCAATTCTTTTATTAATAGATATTGGCATATACTTAAATAACTTAGGTGGGTGATTTGAATTTTTGCTTCTATAGGATTATTTGCTTTCTACATGGTTTGTATGTATTATTATTTAAATTAAATGTTATGTCTAGAAAACTTACTATTTTTAGATTAGATTTTGTATCAATTTTAAATCCTAAATTATTAAATATTTCTATTATTTGTTTTCTTATATTTTCTGTTTTTCTACCATTATAATTTTTTACAATTAGTAAACCATTATCTCTATATAATCCTATATCCTTTTTATTAATGACATTTAATAAATTAAATCCCTATAAGTTTGCATATTTCTGCACCATCATAACTTCTATGCATGCATGTATTAAAGTATAGTGGCTGCCGCTTGACCATGTGGTGAATGAAGGTATGTTGTTTTCAGTGTAGTAAGGGTGGGTTAGACATGTAAGGTTGCCAGCTTTGTCTCTTGGTATGTTATGATAGAGAATGGACAAAATTAATTGAATTTGGTTTTGGTTGATTTTCAGTTTATAGATCAGCTTGGAAAAGGCTGCTTGCTTCTCATTGGCTCATAGCTTTATATCCTGGCTGTGAGAAGTTTCTGATTGGTTGGTCAAGATATCTGTTTTTAGAGATAGGGGAATTTTGGTTTTCTTATGTTTTTTTTTTTTTTAATTATTTCACCCCAAGCAAAGTAATAAAGCCACTAAGACGTAAGGTGTTACTGAGTGTGAGAGAATATGAGAAAATAGAAAACACTATTAAGGAGAGAGAACAATAAAAGAACAGGAATTAATAAGACAAAAGATAACAATTTATTTAAATTTTGGGAAATCAAAGCTGACTGGGAAGCAAGAAGCTGGAAGAGAGTTCCACAAGCGAGAAGTGCAATAGAAGAAACTCTTAGCATAGAACTTATGGTTACATCTAGACATTTCTACTGTAAAATTATGAGGTGTTGCTGCCAGTCTAGTACTGAACTTAAATTTATTAAGTCTAGGTACCATAGAGGAAAGTTAGCAAACATGGACCTTCATGCCTGCAATAAGATGGTGCGTCAAATGGATGTTTTCTAATATAACACCACTTTTTTTAACTGCTGTCACTCTTCAGCAATGCTTATTGTTTTTAAAAGCAATGATTACAATTGTAATAAAACCTAAACTTATGAAAGTGTACTCTTTATTAACAAATCTTTCAAAAATAGAATATACATTTTTGAAACATTGAGGAAGATTAACTGATTTAAGGTTTAATTAATCTGAAGTAATACTTGTTTCAATTCAGATGAATTAAAACTTAAATCAGTTAATCTTCCTCAATGTTTCAAAAATGTATATTCTATTTTTGAAAGATTTGTTAATAAAGAGAATTATGCTGTGTTTACAGATTTGTCAATGTGATCGATTTTAACAATTTAAAAAAAGTTAATACCAATCAATTTAAATTTGTTTTGAAATGTAGCAAAATATTTTGCTTATTTTCTAGTTTAAAATATCACAAAAAAGAATTTTTAGCATAGGTGGTTGTTTTCATGAGGTGTTGACTGATTTATCAATAATCAATAGCATAATATTTAATGAGATGGTTTAACATTTACTTTTATGATTCATGATGTAATATGTTTAAATTTTGTTTTTAACCATTGTCTTTGGTTTTGTTTGAACTAATATTCCTCATCTTTTTTACATTTTGGTGTAATTCTAAAACATAACAGATTAAATGTTGGAAGTTTGCAAAGTATACAGGTGAACTGCTGCAAATAATCAAACAAGAGAGGGCTGCTTTGATTATGCTATCCCTGACCCTTTTGTATTGAAGTTATAGTAATGAATAAATTACAATATGTTTGATATTTTTCTTTACAGGCAAAAACAACTGAATATCAAAATGGTGTTCATAGATCTGAAAGTCAAGATTCAAGTAAGGATTTCTTATTTTTACACTTGGGATTTCTGTTTGGTGGGCAAAATGGTATTGTTTTATTTGCTGCAACAAGTCAGTTTTTTTGTCCATATTTGTTGTAACCTAGGAAAGGTTACTGAATGGAATAACCACACAAAGTTTGGTAATGAATGATAATACTTAGGACAAGAACAACACATATAAGCAGTGGAACATAGAAGTAGTCAAGAGCTAGAAGTGAGTCAAGTGAATTCCATAATGAATCTCCAACTGCAGGATATCTACCAACTGCCCCACACAGTCAGATGTGGCACAAGGTCGAATTTAATGTGGGGTATCTGAGCCCGTAGGCATGGCCAAAAATTCCTCATAAACCCCATATAAAACGGGGTTGGGTAGCTTTTTCCAGAGACGAGACTCTGCTCTTTGACATAGCCTCCTCGAGGAATCCTCTCTGCCTCCAGGCAGAGAGTTTGACCAGCACAGCTGGAGACGAATCTCCAACTGCCGACCAACATACAGTATTTACTACTGTATTTATGGGAATGAGGACATACCCGTTATTGTCTGTAGGTATGCTACAACAATATTGCAGTTGCCTTTCTTTATTGAATATAATTGTTTGTAAATGGTTCAAAGTATAAATTAAACTAGTCATTATATGTGAAATTATTGACATTTACAGTGGTTTTTACATTATACAATTTAGATAACTTCAGTGGTCATCCCTTTTTTTTTTTTAATGTAAATATTAAAATACACAATCAGAAACAGTCACAAGAAAAAGCAATCCCAAAAAATACAGAAGATTATGAAACCGAACAGCCTTTCAACCTTTTATACAAAATAACCATCTTAAATTCATAAATTAATAAGGCTTCGGCATAAAATGACCCAAATAGGAGTTGACATGCCGTTAAATCCAGCATCCATCCATCTTTCTTTTTTTTTGTTATCTTTTATCTTTCATGGATTTTGGAACTCACTTCTTATTTCATTTGACTTTTATAATGGTATCACATATTTTTCAATAAAAACCATAGAAAGATGTCTTTTAAGGAGTATTTTATTTTTATTTTTTTTATATATTTTCTTTTGACAACTTTTTTTTATTGGTGATTTGCAATTATAGTGTGTGCTTACTGCAATATCATGTTGAGACACTTGTTCTCATTTGATCACCAAAGTTAAGCAACATCAATCCTGGTTAGTATTCTGATGGGTAACTACAGGAGAGTACCAGGTGATGTAAGCAACAAAACAGGCCTAGCAAGCTGGCAATGGATATAATCTTGCTAATTATGCAAACAGAAGATATCAATATGTGGAGGTGCTTTGCAATTATAACTATATTTCCTGACATTCTAAGATTGCTTTTAATCAAGATAAATATTTGCTTTCTCTTCCATTTAAATGCAAAAGATGATGCTAAGGCACATGACATGATTAAGATGCAGGGGGAAAGATAGAAAATAACCTTATTCTCTGAAGATGGCCAAAATAGTACAAAGTACTTGTATTAGGAAATATATATCAATAAACTTGGACCTCTGATCAGAATACTTGTAAGAAAACAGGAAAAATTAATTTATGAAAATGTTTAAATGAGATTTTTCCTTGGTCTTAAATGAAATATGCAAAAAGATAATATGCTGATAATTTTTCCATTTTTATACATTACATATAAGGGAAATAATTTATATTAACTTATCACATCTAAGGGAGAGAACTTCGAGTAGCGGACCACATACGAAACCTGAATTTTTTAATAATAGAATTTTTTACAACACTCGTCTAGGAAGTGTTTTAACAAAGTGCAGAAAGTGTGACACTGAAAACCGAACATGCGTTGGGATAGATGCTTTCTAAAAGTTAAGCAAATTATTAAGAAACAGGAAAATTTCATTAGAAACAAAGAGAAAAGTACTGGACTGTTAATATCAGTCCTCCTATATGGCAGTGAATGCTGTACAAAGATGAAGAATAGACTTGACTTGAAGCAACAGAAATGTTCTGCAGAAGGATGCTAAAAATACCATGTGAGCAATGACAGTTTTAGAGAGAATGAAAACAAAAGGGACACTTATATTTAACGTCAGAAAGAGTTGAAATTTCTAGGGCAAATAATGCGGGGAAAATTGGAAAATTTAATACTCACAGGACAGATTGAAGGCAAGAGGGGGAAGAAGAAAAACAACATCTACTCAGTTAGCTTGAGTAAATGGATAGTGGAACAAGGTTTAGGAGGGATAGCAGAAAGACAAAATTTATTAAATGTTACAATAAACAGAAAATTGTGCAGATCCATAATCACCTATGTCCTGAAGGAACATGACACATAGAGGTTCAATCCTCTTTGGGTACCCCACATTTCCGAATTGTCAATAATATCAGTAAATAATGTCCAGCAGTAAATACAAAGAAAATTGTAAACCCTATGTAGGTAATCAGTAATTATCAGAAAAGCCAAATAGATTTAATAATAATTTTAGTTTAAGTAATTAATATTATTTTTTTCAATCTCTGATTATTTATTATTACTACAAACATTATTTTAGGTGGTACCTATTTTTGAGTAGTCATCCCGGTAAGGGCTGTTGCATACTACCCTCAACTCCTTTACCAGGATGAGGGTAGGTTTATAATCTGATTGAGGTCTCTAGGCAGGACTTTGTGTCTGCCACTATCTTATTAATATATTTCTTTTTTTTTCTACCTACATTTAGACATACTGCAAATTAAAGCAAGCATAACTGATTATTAAATGTTGAAAATTTTTTGTGGACTTTGACATCATTCTGGGGTTTTTTATGCCCAAATCTGTGAATTTGTTTTGCTTATGTGTTGTAACGTAGGATGGGTTACTGAATGAGGAATAACCAAAACGGAGGTTGGAAATGAAATGGTAATCTTTATAACATCAACAAAATACAATACTCACCAGTGGCGTGAAGTAGTTTAAACCACTGCTAGTGGTGGACTACTAAGACAGCATATTACCCCACTTACAATATGTATTTATGAAGATAGGGACATACCTATTAGTATTTATAGGTAGAGTATATAACATTATTTTAAGCTTGAAAAAACACTATATGAAATTCACTACTTTTTTTTTTATCCATAATGTTGAATGTGTGAAAATTATTCAACTTTTTAAATTACAATGTCAGGTCATTTGTTGCATTAATCTAAAGAAAATAAAAAAAATATATATTATTTTATTTTATACCCTTATGTCAGTTCGTTTTTATTTCCAGAGTTTTGATAAAAGAAAATCCTATCACCTAACTACAAATCTAAGAATATTGAAAATTGTAATTATCATCACTTTCAGAAAAACTTGTTGCTATAGTAAAATAATGCATTCTTGCTTTGAGTATACTCACTCCAAATTTACTTTTTTTGTATAATTTGCACTTCCTTTTTTTAATTTGTTTTTAAAAGTGAATATTATATGCCTTGGAAAATGGTACAAATTTGAAGCCAAAATCCATTAAGATGAAAAGTCAAGTATAATAACACATTTATAATTTGAATTTGTTTATTATTTATTAAGATTTATTTCTTGAAAAATCTGTCAGACAGAATACTATACAGGGTGCCCCACAAAAAACAGGAAATTTGATACAGTTTATTTAATAGTTGGAATTTTTGTTACAGTTATTTGAAACAAAAGCAAAGGATATAAATTTAGTCGCTTAAAACAGATCAAAAATGCAAATTTTAGTTAATTTTTTTATATGTTAGTTAATTTTTTTCATCATATAGTAAATCTAAAATTTTGTGTTTTTTTTTTTTTTTATGAGACACTCTGTAGTTCGACTTTTTGTTAATACTTTGCTTTTTAATTTGTAGTTGATGCCTATCAAGATGCTGGCGACACAGACAAAGATTTGAGCTTTATTTTTGGAAAGGTAAACAAATCAATTTAAAAAAAAAAACAATTTCACTCTTCTTTAAAATTAGATTATTCAGGAAGTTGCATTGCATGATAGAATTAAAAAGAACATTCAAGAAGTAATAAACTTTAAAAACTTATTTGAGAATATAATCATTACTAGCATTTGTTATACAAAAACCATTATGAAGCTAACACTTGGTTGTTAAATCAATAATTATTTTCTACCACTAAATTTCCTGGCAATAGACCCCACCCACAGAATTACTGAGAACTGCATTTATTAAAATTGGCTTGGTTGACCAAATGGAATTTGATGCGTCTTCAGATGATCAGTTTTTGCCATTTGGTTAAATCTTTTTTCTCATCTGATCCATAACTTCCTGGAAAATATCTTTTCGTAGCCCTTCTTACTGATCTTTTCCTTTCCAGGAAGTTTCTGTTGGTAGTTTTTCTTCCTGATCCTTGTCTTTCCTTTGGTCATCCCTGATCACTAACTTCTTGGAAATTTCCTTTTGCAGATATAAGATAGGGCAAGTTTAGTATTTTTTAAAAATTCTTGTCAATTTTTTCAGGAAAAGTTTGAAAGAACCTCAGAAAATACAGGTTGGTTCCAAGCGCCAAAAGACAAGGCGGTTCAGGAAAAGGACAAGATCAACTCTGACTTGTGTCATCAATTGGAACAACTGAAGGAAGAAAATCAAGATTTAAGAGTGAAGTTAGAACTGAAACAAAAGGTAGTCTTTTCTATATTACAATAAATAACAAATGTTCTGCTATTGACTCGGTTAAACTATTTTTGGTGGACTTTAGACGAAACCAAATTTTAGATTGAACCCTTCTCTTTGTGTACAGTTAGAGTAGTGGTATAGTCAGTGGGCAGCAATAACAAAAGCTGAACCTCAGCAGACACATTCAGTGTTCAAATGGAGTGATTACCTTTCCATTTATAATTATTCTGCTATAATTTAAAATAAAATATTGACATGTCAAAAGGGCCATTATATTCTTGAAACTGCTATTTCTGTATACACTGTTGACTCCCTTGTCTATGTTATTTGTTTTAAAAGCAATGATTCAAATTTTAATAAAACCCAAACATATCAAAATGGGTTTATACATGTTCTTTATTCTTGAGAATTGACAACAATGATATTAAACACTATTAGAGTGAATTAAAAAAAAAAAAAAAATCTTTTCATTGTTATTTATAAAATGGTAAAGAATAAATATTCGTAACAGAAAATATCAGGATGAGGATTTCAAATTTGAAGTTTGATGCCTGCAGTTAATGTTTGTTTTTTGGATCATAAATATAATATCTTGTAATAATTCAATAAATTTATTACATCTTCTGACTCTGATGAATAATGTTAAGCAAATCTCTGTAACTGGCCAATAGATATGTTACTTGAATATTTATTAGTTTATTACACACACACACACACATATATATATATATATATATAATATATATATATATATATATATATATATATATGTCTGTATGAGATTTAAATTAGAACAGAATTGGCAAGCCCAAATAGAAAACAATTGACAAAGTTGCAAGAGGAATATCAGGCAAGAAATTAATTTTTCTTGGGGAAAAATACATATAACATATAACATCACTCTTTCAGGTGTGTGTGTTTGTGTGTGTATATATATATATATATATACACACACACACCTGCAAGAGTGATGTTATGTAATTTTCTAAGAAAATTAATTTCTTTGCCTGATATTCCTTTGTCAGTTGTTTTCATTTGTCAGTTGTTTTCATTTGCTAATTCTGTTCTAATTGAAATCTCACTTTAGCATTATTTGTTTTTACTGTCATGAATTTTCTATTATTTGAACTTTCCAGTTTTGTAGCTGGTAGCACTTCTTTCATTAAGTTAATTTTTGTATTTCTTTTGCTTTTTGACTTGCAATAGCTTTGCTTGTGACTTTTTTTTCCACAAATAAAACATTTTTGGATTTTAAATAATCCTCTCTGAAATTAAGAATACTATGGCTATAGCATGTGTTAAGTTTGACAGTAATTTTATTTCAAATTTTTCTTTTAGTACTATTGTCTTTTTTTTTAACTACTTGTACTTCTGACATGCCATTTTGTTCAATTTTTGCTGTATTGTGCCTTAAACTGACAATTTTTTGGCACTCTTCCGCAACAGTCTGTATTGTTAACTTTGAATCTTGTTCAAGTTTTGTAAGGATTCAAGAGTGTATTTCCTCATTGTTGCTTGATGTTAAACCTTTAATGAAGATTAAACATTTAAATTTGTCTGGGGATAGTTCATCCAGTTTAAATCCCCTCAAAAATAAAGGCCAGAGACAGAGAAACTGATTTTAAAATGAAAGAATATAAAAATTGAATAAAAACAAAATTGAAAAGAATGAAAGAGATATAAAAAAGGAGGAGAGATTCCAACAATAATATGAAAAACCAAGATAACTATCATTTGCTTCACCTTTGACCTCATTGATAAACACTCCAAAACTCCACCAAAGTTTACATACAACGTTCCACAAAGGAAAGAGAGGAACTTCATTGATTTGACCCCCTCTCCTATTTATTTTCATGGCTTTGAACTCTGTGTTGATCTCTGATTACTGGATATATTTTCATAGTTATTCTTTTGTCCTGTTGCTGTTTTTGCAGTTATTTGTTGTTGCATAAAATTTTATATAAACTTCTCCAGTATTGTTACTTGTACCCTTATTTAATGAGACAGACACATTATCATGTTTTTTTTTGTTTTTTTTATATATATAATATTGTTAATATGTGTTGAAATTCAGGACATCTCCAGTTGGTGAGAAAATCTTTCTCCTTAGGCTGGAAGGAATCATGACCATGTGACAATATATATATTTTGGATTTGAAGGTCTAAAGAATTAGGGCTGTTTTCACAACCCTAATGAAATAAATTATTATCTTATGAAGTTTTAGTGTTTATATATAATATATATATATATATATATATATATATATATATACACACACACACAAACAACCCATGTAAAATTTAATTCCAGTTGAGCACTCTGGAGAGAAAGTGCGAATTTGTAAACAATGACTACTGCTGCTAATACTGCAAAGCTCTTCTATGAATTGAGCTCTCTCGGTCATTGGTGTGTTTATTTGAAGAATAAGTACATAAAAAAAATATACCTTCCTCTCTAATGGGCGCTGATAGCTCAGTGATAAAATCTCCAAGTCATGCCAAATTAGTTGGGTTTTGATCCTGACTTGAGGCAATCAGATATATAGCCACACTGATGAGCTGTGAAACAGTCAGTCTGTGGATGACTATAAGAGTAATACACATATAAAATTTGTTACTTAGCTGATTGATGTTATTTTTAGTATTTCGAGTTTCATAGACAGACCCTCCAGCAATTGCTCTGTCCATTTGTTAGGTGATACCAGAAATTGATTGTTTATTTTCTCATTTTTCATCATGTTTATATTGAGTTAAAAAAATATCTATCTATCTATCTCTCTCTATTTCTATATATATATATATATATATATATATATATATATATATATATATATATATATTTGGGTAGGAACCTTTCTTTTAAACATCTTTCATTAAATATTGCAGACAAGTAAAGTTTAATTAAATTTTTATTAATTATTTCAGCATTCTTACATTTTTCCATTTGGTAGGAAAAATTTTACATAATTTTCCAAGGGCCTTTGGCCACTTCTTTAGCCATTTTCAAGGGGGTTTTGTTGTTAGTTTCTTTTCATATTTTGACTGTTTAAGGCCTGTTTTATTTTTGTGTTAGTACTAGTATTCCATGTTTTTGTGTGTTGAGTATGGCTGTAATTTGAGTGATTGTCTCTCTATTTTATAAGAAACATTTAACACTTCATTCCCACCATTAAAGGAAGTAAGGTTTATAGTGGAAAGGAGATGTTTAACATACAGGGCCTCTCTTATAGTGAGATGTTTCCAGTAATGTGATTCATATAAAATTTTAGTGTTTTTGACCAGAATTTTTCTTAAGGGTTCTTGTAAATTGTGGGTAGATAGATGTTTTTTATAGCACTTTGATCTGATAAGGTGGTTGTATGTCCAATATAAGTAATTGATTAGTGACAAAAAACACAGACTTGTACTGGATAGTGAAATTGAAACATTGTATTGGTCATCACTAGTTTAGATTTAATGGGGTTATTTTGTTTAGTGACAACAAAGTTTGCAGTTTTACATGCTTTTCAGGAATTATGGCAAAAATATGTTAATAATTCTTTGTATAGTGAATTTTTCCTCCTTATAATTATTATATAAAAAAATGTCCATGTAAATCAATGTGTGAGCAACACAACCTAAAAATAAGAATGCTTGTAGTTCGCCCCTTCACCGGGGTAGACGTGTATATATGTTGTTACCTAAAGTGTCTTTTCAGACATGGACGAATAAATATGTCCAAAACATAGTATTCAAAAACCAGCTACAGTTATGTTTCTATGTTGATCTTGATTCTTTTTATGTTCTTTTGAGCTTAAAATGAGTCCAATTATCAATTCGGACATTTGGTAGTGGTGTTAGCGTCAGTTTCTTAGTTTCTATATTAAAAACAGATAAAAAAAATTGCCTGAAAATGAAATGTTTTTCCCAAAATAATTTTCTCGGGAAGAGGTTAACAAAATTTTTTATTCATCTTGACGTCTTTTTTGATTGCAGGAAGTTCTCCAATTGCAGCATGATGCCACAGAAGCCAGACTTTCTGCTAGCTCTGCACTTACCCAGTTACATGTGGAAACCAAACTCAGGAGTATTCTTGAGAATAAGAATTCCTCTCTCAACAGTGAAGTCTTCAAAGTGCGTACAATATTTGTTTGAGATCAACCGTGTGTCATTTTGTATAAAGTATTGTTTGATTTCTGCTGATGGCTTAATGATTAGAATGGTGGGCTTGAGGTTATGAAGCTACTTGTGTTGGGCATAGAGCAGTTGGAAAAATTCTTCTGGAACTTCACCACTTATCACCTTATCTTATATGCACCCTAAGCAAAGCAATAATGCCACTAAGATACAAGAATTTATGGAGTGTGATAGAATATGAGCAAAAGAAAAATGTTAACAAGGAGAGAGAAAGAAATAAAAGTACAGGAAGTAAGAAGACAGAATATATTGATTGAAATTGCATTTAAATTTTTTGAAGATTAAACGTGACTAGAAAGAAAGACACCAGAAAAGAGTTCCACAGGCAAGAAGTGCAAGAGAAGAAACGTTTAGCATAGAACTTAAGGTTACAACTAACCTTTTCACTTGTGAAATGATGAGACTGAAATGCCAATGTAGTACTCTGCTTAAATTCATAAAGTCAAAGTACCAAAGAGGAAAGCTTGTCAGAACAATTGCCATAAAAATATTTAAAGAAAAGGCAGTGGGAAAATGACTGAAGCTGAGATGCCAGGTCAGGGCTGAAAACATGGCAGATTCTTATTTGGATTTTATCAAGAATTACTAAAATCATAGTAGAAGCAATATTCAATGAATGGATGAATGGTAGTCTTATAAATATATAAGATAGATTTGGGTGAAGCAAAAATTGTCTATCATGACAAAGAGAACCAACTTTCCTAGCAATTGATTCAATATAATCTTTCCACTTTATGTCAGTGGATACATATAGAAAAGTATTCTCACACAAATATGCTTACACAAAATGATCTTTAGAAATGATAAATCTTTGGGTTTTAATTTTATTCAATGTATTCACACTGGTGTGAAGGTTGAAATCAGCAAGCCAAATTGAAATTCTGGTCTAGACCATTGTATTTACTTTTGCACTGATGCCCTTTGGAAAGGCATGAATCCAATTTTCTCCCCCATAACTAAGGGTTAAATAACAAGGTTGTCTACACTCTCTAGCCTTGGGTGACAGCCAGTGTTGATGATAGATTACTCAAATTCAAAATCTGGTAAAAGGCAATGGGGAAACAACTATTTTTCCAAAGAAGACATGGCAATTCATATATAATAAAGAAAAGGAAAAAGTGGAGAGCCATAATTGCTTACTATCTGAAGGGAAAAAGACTACTCTGAATTCAGAGCTGTGGAAAAGGCAATGAGAAATCACATCACTCCCTTTCCAAGGAAGTCATAGCAATTCACAGATAATAAAGCAAAGGAAACTGTGGAGAGCCATAATCGCTTATGTGCTGAAGGGACAATATGAGAGACAATTTCTCTAGCAATATGCATGCTAGACTATTTCCTCAGAGGTTGAGAAGATACTTGAAGTAACAGATGTTCTATCAGTGAACGGTAAGAATGCCATAGACAGAACATATGAACAACAAGGAAGTCTTAAGGAAAATAAAAATAAGGAAACTTAAATTTACAATCAGAAAGAGATAGTTGAAATATCTAGGATGTGAAATGAGGAAAGTGGGCTTAGAGAATGTAACACTCACAGGACATAATGAAGGCAAGAGAAGCAGTGGGAGACATTATATAACCTACTTGAGATTGTATGAATGGATGGCAGAGCAGGAACAAAGCTGGACAGTAATGGGTAAAAAAATTGCATAGAGATAAAAGAACGTTGTGGTGAGCTGTAAACGTACAACATGTCCCTCGTCCACTGGTCAACTCATGGTTACCCCTCATTTCATTTTAATTCTCAATTTCATTGGCGTGCATCAAAAGCAGGGTGAAAAGATGAAAGACAAATTCCACATCAAGAAATAAGAATGCAAATCCTGTTTCCTATATGATATGTAGATATTTTATTCAGGGTGTTGCCTGCTTATCTGGGTGGGCAGGTAGGTGATACTTGGGACAATTTTTGCTATCTTAGTTCAGCACTTCTCTCCTACCACCCCTCTATGTGACTAGCAATACGAATAGATGACATTGGAATGATACGACATATAGGTGCAATGTCCTGACAAAGACAGACCAGAACTGATCCAATCTCTAGCATGACTTAATTTTGACCAGTACCTGGATTCATCATATTTCCGATTTTGTTGTCACTTGATCTCTAAAACAACCCTTATCTAGGCCTTTACTTACCTGTTCCTTTTCAGTCAAAGTTAGTACTAGTACACTATATTTGGAATACACTTGAGATTAAGATAAAACACCATCTCCCATTTCTATGTGGTTCTCCATAGTATCACAAAGCTAGGTGATAACTGGTAAAAAAAATTATATAGGGAAAAAAAAACAGGAAGTTGTGGAGAGCCATGATAGCTTATACCCAGAAATGTCTTGGCACATAAAAGATCTATTGTCATTATTGAAAGATCTTTGAAGAAATATACACAGTGAAGCCAAATGATCCATTTTCTTGTTTTGTACTTTGTAGGTAAAAATGTAGTCTAAATATTTTATCATTGGTAGATAAATGGCAGGAATATTTCTTCTTTTTTTTTCTCTACATTATTTACATTATTCGGACTCATCTTTGTCGCCATATTTATTACAACGTTTCAGCATTTGTATGATCCGGCCTTCTTCAGGTGGTTGGAATGTCGAACTGAACCCTTTACTTCACTCACTGGGGTAGACTGTTCTAGTTCCAAGTGTCATGTTTAATGGGTGTCAGTTATCAGCACATATGCTAGGCCACAAAAATCTCCTGAACTGACCAAGCATAGAAATCAATACAATATGGGAACCAGTAATGAGTGTCAGAGAAAAGTGATAATAACAACAAAAATTGCAATATAAGCTCTGGTAAAAACATGCAATAATAACAGCAAAAATTGCAATATGAGCACTGGTAAAAAAGGGATGCTGAAGATATTAAGTTTATAATACCCAGAAATTCATACACAGATGTTCTCAAGGACACATGGCACAGTGCATAAAGGTGTTAGTTAGATGCAGTGACAGGACCCAAAGAGTGTGAGTTCAATACCTGCAATAATAACAGCAAAAAGGTAGTGGAGAACTTTCAGAGGGAAATTAACAGGCGATAACTGATAACTGACATCCATTAAACATGGAACTAGAACAGTTTACCCCAGTGAGCAAAATAAAGGGTTCAGTTTGACATTTCAACCACCTGAAGAAGGCTGGAGTGTACAACGACTGAAACGTTGTAATAGATATAGCAACAAAGATGAGGACAATAGTCCGAATAATGTAAATAATGTACATAATACTTCATCTCAGAAATATAGACATACTTTTATCTCTAATTTTTATATTTTGTATTGATTTTCAGGTGTACGATGATGTAAAGCAATTGATTAAACGTAGTCTTATTTTGGAGACAAACAATCAGGATTTGCAAAGCCAGCTTGATCAGGTCAGTGTATCTTTTGTATTGTTGTATTGACCGCTGCACATTGGTCAAAAATATTTGAGGCATTTCTTCTGAATTCTGAGAATATACAGAATGTTTCAGAACTCAAAAAATGACTTAAGAATTTCTGTTTCATAATTATTACTATTTGTCCCTGGAAATCAATTTATACATGGGTAAGTTTAAAAAGGAATCAACAGAGCCTAAAAACTTTACCATAATAATCCATTTCCTTGATTTGTATTTTAGAATGTGGTCGAAATATTTTACCAAAAGTAGATTAATGACATTGAGCCCTCAGTTCATTTTATATTTTAAGCTTTAGATTTTAATCTTACTATTTGTGTGTAATATCTCTCCAGCATGGTTAAACACTTTCACCTATTAAAGTAAATATCCAAAGTAGCAGATCTGGTATTATTATATATTATATTTAGGTTCTATTGATTTTGATATTGAGCCTTCAGTTTATTTTATATTTTAAGCTTTTATTCTTACTATTTGTGTGTGTGTGTGTGTGTGTGTGTGTGTGTATATATATATATATATATATATATATATATATATATTAAAGAAAAACAGACCATTTTACTAATGGAACCTTAAAGTGGTCTGTTTTTCTTTAAAATATTAGCTCTGGATTTACATTGAGCTCTCAGGATTTCATCCTCTTTGGGATTACCCATACGGATTACAAAGTTTTTCATAACAATATATATATATATATATATATATATATATATATATAATTTGGCTCTCCAATTCCTCAATCCGAGCTGCTATTCATTATACCACTGTGCCTCCGCCATTACATCCAGTTACATGCTAATACTTTTGAGAAAGGTATGAATCCTCTTCCCCCACCTGCTATCGGTAAATAGCAGGATAGACCAGGTTCTATAGCCTTGGATGGCTACTGGTCTAAGAGAAGGACAACTTTGAATTCAAAACCTGTGTAGGGTTGATTGGAGACCTTGTGGCACATGGTGCACCAGGTCTCTGCATTTGGCTTGTCAAAAAGTGTGGTTGGTTCTGCAGAAAGCCTTCACCACTCTAATTTGTGTGGATGGTCTGGTTGCCAGTTTCTAGGAACTGAGTTGCATGACACTCAAACGTCAGGAGAATCTGTTTTATTTTTTATTTATATATATATATATATATATATATATATATATATATATATAAATATATATATATATATAAAGAATAATCACACATAGAATTAATCAGAAGTATTAATGCGATTATTGGCGACATCCATCGTTAGAAAACATAATATATGCATTAAAATCCTGTTCATCCATAGTGCGAGTTTTGATCCTTGACGAAAAACTTATTGTCTGTAGTTTTTCAGTTTATTTGATGTTAAAATGCTAGTACTTACGGATAGACTTCTATCCATCATCAGGCATGTGTTTTTTTTTTCCTTATAAAATCAAAAACTTGAGACGATATACTTGTATGTCGACCGAAAGATGTTTTTTGAATATCTGCTATTATTGACGGTTGTGTAAGATCTCGGAACGTGCAAAGACGCAACGTTAAGTTTTTCAAAATTTTTTAAGTGAGAATTTTATTTAAATATTTCTTGTGATGTGTTAATTCCACGTATTCTATTTTTACAAGTGTATTCAGTTTTTATGTCATGAACTAAGTATATAGTTCAATAATATAGTGTAATGTCTGAGTAGTAGTTTTTTTATAGGAATTTTTTATGTACTGCGGATCGATAGTTTATAATAAACATAAAACATTAGGCAGCATATGATTTACATACAAAGAATAATCACACATAGAATTAATCAGAAGTATTAATGCGATTATTGGCGACATCCATCGCTAGAAAACATAATATATGCATTAAAATCCTGTTCATCCATAGCAGATATTCAAAAAACATCTTTCGGGCGACATACAAGTATATCGTCTCAAGTTTTTGATTTTATAAGGAGAAAAAAAAACACATGCCTGATGATGGATAGAAGTCTATCCGTAAGTACTAGCATTTTAACATCAAATAAACTGAAAAACTACAGACAATAAGTTTTTCGTCAAGGATCAAAACTCGCACTCTGGATGAACAGGATTTTAATGCATATATTATGTTTTCTAGCGATGGATGTCGCCAATAATCGCATTAATACTTCTGATTAATTCTATGTGTGATTATTCTTTGTATGTAAATCATATGCTGCCTAATGTTTTATATATATATATATATAGAGAGAGAGAGAGAGAGAGACTGTGTATAAGCAATGTACAAAATAACCAACTCTTTAGAGAATATGCTACAAACGCACACTGGAGAAAATGATCTCCATGTCATTTTTAATGGCAGAGCATTAATATTTTTTTTTTTTTAATCATTCCCCCCCCACCAAGCAAAGCAATAAATCCACTAAGATGTAAGTGATTACTGAGTGTTAGAGAATATGAGAAAAAATACTATTCAAGAGAGAGGACAATAAAAGAACAAAAATTAAAAAGACAGAAGATAACAATTGACATTGCATTTAAATTTTTAAAGATCAAAATTGACAGGGAAGCAAGAAGCCAGAAGAGTTCCACAACTAAGAAGTGTGATAGAAGAAATTGTTAACATAGAACTTACACTTAAATCTAGCCATTTCAGCACTAAAATAATGAGACTTTGCTGTCAATCTAAAACTGTTATTGACTTCATAAAGTCTAGGTACCATAGAGAAAAGCTCATCAGAAAAATTACCATGAAAATATTTTTGGAAAATGCACAAGAATGCTATGTTATGGTGGTTGGAATGTGATTGAAGCCAAGATGCCAGGTCAGGAAAATTAACATTGCAGATCCTTCTTTGGCTTTTATCAAGAATCACTAAATCTGTAACAGCAGCACAAGACCAGATGTGACAATAATATTTAAAGCAAGGATGAATGGTAGACTTATAAATATGTAAGATAGCTTCTGGCAAGAAAAAAATTGCCTACCACAACTCTGAACCAACTTTCTTTGCAATGGATCTAGCAATTGATTCAATATAATCTTTCCACTTCATGTTGGTGAAAAAAGTTAGCCTGGGAAGGCACAATGAATCAATGTCCTGGAGGTTAGCATCAGTCACACTAATGGAAGGTAAAAATGGTTCTCTCAGATAATTTAAAGATTTTTATTGCTGGTGTTATGTTTCTTCAAAAAGGGATTGCTGTTTTTTTTTGTTTTTTTTTCCAAAGAATTGCTGGTAATAATTTTTTCCAAAAATGTATTGCTGGTATTAAAACCTATTTTTACACTTTCATAGTGTTTTCACCCAAGTTTGGGGTAACTATGTGCCCACAGCTGGGATCCTAGCAGGTGCTACCACCTCAGGTCAGGCTGGACCTGGGAACACCAGCAATTAAGAGGTGGTTCCATACTCATCAAAACCTCCTGATCAGAGGCCTTGCTGTCAGATGTAGTTTATCGTCATACCCAGGATGAGCAATCATCAGGAAGTTGTAACATTATATATATATATATATATATATATATATATATATATATATATATATATAAAAAACAATCAATCTTTTTTTTTTTGGGGAATAGTCTGTTTCGACAGATGATGAAAGTGGTTTTCTGTCTTTTCAACCCTGATTCCACATCAAGGTTGAAAAGGCAGACAACCACTTTCATCGTCTGCAGAAACAGTCTATTCCCCATATGAGGTTAAAAGATTATTTTGCTTATTCATTCATATTGTTCTGTATAAATAAAATACATTGAGCTCTCTTTTGTGGATCAGTTTTAATATTTTTATATTACTAGGATCCGCTCGGATTATATACCATGGATTTATTTTTACTTTCACTCTCTCTCTCGCTCTTTATATATATATATATATATATATATATATATATATATATATATATATATATATATATATATAGATAAATATATACATACATATGCAAAATATATAAATACCCATACATGTATATTTTTAGAATAAAATTTCCAAGAGGAAGAATCCAGGTAGAACTCAATGTCCAGGACAGAGTAAGGATATAATAAAAAGGCTTAAACACTAATATTCCATGGTCATAATTTATTCCATTGGAATCGTAAATACGATCCTATTCATCAGACCTACAAATTATTATCAACAAAATGTTCCTATATTTTAATTCATTCGACTATCAAAAGAAGTTGAGAAGATGATTCACAGCCATTGTAGAGTTTTTGGTTTGTTTAGACAACATTCTAAATCATGGATTTTCCTATAAAAATTAAAAACCAGGATTAATACATCTAATTTTGTGACAAACTTTTACAAACTATAGGAAAATAGAAAACTATAGGAAAATAATCATATATTTCTCTAAATTTAGAGAATTTTCTCTTTTTTAATCTTTGCTTTTTGTTATTTCCTTGCTTTTTCTTTTGGTTTATTTCTCTACATCTGATTGTCTGACTAGCCAGACTTTTTAAATAGCCAAAAACTGGGTCTGAATTGAATCAGAAATTCAATACCATGGGTTCATAACTTACTTTCTCCATTAATTAAAGGATCACAAAATGTATTTCTTTAAACCATGCCTTTGCAGACTTTATTTAGGCATGTTTCAGGCTATAAGACTTCAGCATTTTTTTTTTTTTTTTACAAATTGTTGACCACCAAATTTTATACATGTACCTTTTTTTTTTTTTATATTTATCAGGCTTCCTTTTGTTGTTTTTTTTTACATCAATTTGATACTTACATATACAAAGCTTTACATATCAAATTTTATGCAAGCCACTTTTTTACTAACCACCTGGCTTCATTATGGCAATTTTTTTGTTTAAAGAATACATTATTAACTTTATTCTATTAATAAATATATTTTTTTAAACATTCCCCATAAAAGAAAATGTAATAATCAAACCTAGTCAAGGGTATTAACTATTTTATTTACCCTTTATTTATTTTCATATAAATTTACATTTCTTCTTTATTATGTAAATATATATATATATATATATATATATATATATATATATATAATGTGTGTGTGTGCATCTTTCATTGAAAACAATTGACAATGTGCTGATTTAATTAATCTTTTATTGAGTTTTTCCAGCAATCTAACATGTTTTACTTTTTTCAGGTGTTAAAGAATATAGGAATTGTCCATAATTATCATTGTTCCAAGCACTTTCGGTTCCTACTCTAGCCATGATCAAGGATGTGATTTTGGATGTTGAAATTCTGTGTGGCTGCTACATACTAATTTCACAGTGTGGAGTTTGAGTGGTTTGTGTTCTTCTTGGCAGTCACATGCTATGTGTAGCCAGTTGACTGGGGCAAGACTTTTATTTTTGGAACACTTTTAACATGCTCTCTCCTCTCCTAAATAGTGTGAGATTGATAATGGAAGAATAAAGTTTAATAAGAAGAACCTCTAATGATGAGCTGTGTACGACTATATGACCTGAAAAGGATTCTTGTATTATCATTTAGAATTTTCCTAAAAGTTTCTTGGAAGTTATGATTTAATAAATGTTTTTTAATCACACTCTGCTGTAACAGGTGGCATGTAAGACGTCTACTCAGTGAGGTAGTGGTGTGTCCGATATAAGTCATTCGTTTTTGACAAGTAGCACAGACTTGTACAGGGCAATGGAATTGGTGTGTGTATAATATATATATATATATATATATATAGTGTGATGGATAAATTATCGCATAAATTACATAAAAATGAAAATAATACTAACATTTTAACAGATATATTTAGCAAAATTACACAAATATATCTTGATATTTTGAAATACTAAAGAGTAAATTTATTCAATAAAATCACTATTGGCTTCAACTAGAGCTTCCTGATGACTTCAGAATCTTCTGCAACTCTTCTGGAAGTTCTTGTTTAAGTTGGTGAATGCTGCCATAAGCCTTGCCTTCAGTTCATCTTTGGTACTATAAGGAGTTTTATTTGTCTCTCACTCAACTGCACCCCACACATAATCAAGGGGGTTGCAGTCTGAGGAGATAGGTGGTCAGATGTAAGGGGTGATGAGTTTGCAGAAATTGTTGGAGAGCCATGTAGCATGGTGCAGAGTCCTGTTGCTAGACATAGGGTCTTCCAGCAGCCACCCTCTTAACCCAGGGCAGCACTACCTCCTCAAGGTTTTTTGGTTTGAGTCTGAGGTTCCTCATCAACAATATGGAAATTCTTTTCTTATCAGAACAATCAGTGAGTTTTCCGAGCTGCTGTACCTTTGTAATGGCCATTAGACGCATCCAACTCTTTCTGAATCTGTTGCACTGTACTCAGCTTGACACCCAGACACATTTGTATTGGAGCTTCTGGCATGAATTCCCAAACAGTACAGCATGCTGTTCCCAAATTTCTCAGGGGAGTGAATTGCATCATGGTGCTCTTTTTCTCACAGATGGTGCCCTACTGACCCTACTATAGTGTGCAGTTGACAAAATCATTAAACGAACAACACACATGCATGAAATTAAAAATGTAAAATGGTGACAATGTACACATTGCACCATGTGTATATATATATATATATATATATATATATATAACCTTCCTAAAATTGGATCAAACATCAGGATTTCTTTTGAAGTATTTCTTGATCAGACAGAACTTTTTTATATGATTTTCTTGTTTGAAGTCTATGATTAGTGTCTTTAAATTAAATATAATATCTGTTAATTTACTCAATAGATTTATCTTAACCTGATAACTTATCTGTCTAGACAGATGCACTGTTTATTTGAACTTGTCTTTATCTGTTAACTATTGTTGCTGTATTTTTAAAAAAATATCTTTTGCTCAGTACAAGGCCTAACTGCCATTCAAGATACTGAATGGGAATTTTTTAAGAGTGTATAGAAAGAGAACAATGGTTGTATATTATGAGAATGTTGGATAGATAATGGTTAACCTTTGATTTGAAGAGGTTAAAATTGTAGTGCTTAGAGAAGCATCCTCAATGAAATCCATTCCACATTGCTACAGTTCTGGGGAAGAGGCCGTTTGAGTGGAACTTCCTCTTCACCAATGGAATATAAAAAGATGAGTCAACAGAATAAGTGTACGTGGCATGGCAGGTTGTAGGTGTGAAGGTCTGAACTGAATCTAGTTTGCCTGAACATCTGGAATTAAAATAGCACTAGAGTAGGGTAAGGAGTTAAATGATGAAAAATAAGTCATCACCTGCAAGACAACAAAAACACTTTTGAACTCTGTCAAGACTGGAAAATTAGTATTGGTCAGGTATTATTGAGCCCTTTGCTTACAAAACTCTGCTCGCCTTTAAACATGTTAAATTTCAGCAAATTTCCTAGTTGACATCTTTTGATGTTCTGCGTTATCATACTTATCATATAATCTTTCACAATTTTCCCCTCTCTCTCCTGGATTTGTTGTTTTTAGTGGGGGGAAGTTTTAGCACATACTCAACATTTGAATGGTGGTGGAGTGTGGTAGCCTTCTTTGGTACTCGGCAATCGGAGATCATCCAAGTGACTATCAATTTTTGTTTTCCATTTGCCTTGTCCCTTCAGGACATAGGCGATCATGGCTCTTCACAACTTCCTATCCTTTGTAGCCCTTATTAAAGTTAGTAAAGCCTTTTTGCTATATCTCTTAATTCCTGTTCTATAAACCATTTGCATAAACTCACCAGGTAGGTTATACATGGCTTTCCTCTGTCCCTCTTGCCTTCAATATGTCTTGTGAGTATCACATTTCCAAAGACCCTTTTCCCCTCGTTGTGTGCCCTAGAAATTTCACCACTCTCTTTCTGACACTACATACAAGTGTCCTTTTTGTTTTCAGTTTCTCTAAAACTTTGTCATTGCTCACATTTTCAGTCCATGGTATTCTCATCATCCTTCTGTAGAACCACATTTTTGTTGCCTAAAGCCTCATCTCCATCTGTGATGAGATTGTTCATTATTCGATGCCATATAGGAGGGCTGATATTATATTACTGTTCAGTACTCTTTGGTTCCAATGAAATTTTCCTTTTTCTTAATACTTTGCTTAACTTTTTCTTTTACTCTGAACTGATTTACAAAGCTAAAAGCTATATCTACCCAGCTATAGAGTGTATATATATATATATATATATATATATATATATATATATATATATATGGTTGTAGTTGGGGATCAGAAGCAGGGAGCAGATCTTGCCTACTGGAAAAAATGGAATCATAACTTTTCTAAATGTACCAGATTGTATTTCCCATGCTTTTTGGTCCAAGTACATTTTTAGAAGTATATTCAGCTTAAATTTTTGCTTAAGAAAAAGTAAAAATTCATAGAATGAAACAGAAATTGTCTCTAATTATTATCTGTTTTAATACTTTATTCAATTTCCCACTGAAGCCCATCAATGAAATGACATTTCTGTGTTTTTTTTGTTTTTTTTTTTAAATTTCAGAAAACCATGTCTTCCAGTGATTCAGAATTCCTACGAACACAAAGATCAGCTCAACAAATGGCAGAAATCAGATCATCACGAGAACGGATAGTGCAAGCAGAACTTGAGGTTGATTAGATTCATTTTTCTTCTCTCAATTGTTTTTATCCATAATAACTATTTGGCTTTAGTTGGGTGGCCATTTTGAACTGAAACAGCCTAAGTGTGTTCTCTTTCTTTTATCTGTTATGACTAATATTCTTCCAAGTTTCAGGGCAGAGGCAGATCAGTGATGTAAAAAAAATTGAGACTGGATATGACAGCATGGGCTTAAAAGAATAAAGTATAATTTTAATTTTTAACTCAAGTGACTGAATAGCGCAGGAAACTGCAAAAAAGGCTAGACGTTAAAACAGCTAAAAATGTGATTAGACCAAAAGTTATAATAGCATCAAATTAAGACAAAAATTGAAGTCTGTCAGGAGATCAAAAGTATTAAGGTATTTAAATTTTTTTTTTTTTTACGGAAGTTCCAGTGGATAGTGGCTTAGAATGAGAAATCAGAGAACTGAGTTCAAATTACATTCAATTTCGTTACATTCACCTATTTTGAGGAAGCGTGGAACCACCTCTTAATTGCTGGTGTTCCCAGGTCTGCCCTGATCCGGGGTGGTAGCACCTGTTAGGGTCCCAGCTATGGGCAAATAGTGAACTCCCAGTTTTTCCCATCATACTTCCTGGGTATGGCGATAAACTACATCCGCGTCCTGGGTATGGTGATAAACTACGTCAAAAAAATAATGTTGCCAGCTATACGTTTTTGAAAAAAAATAATGTTGCCAGCTATACTTTTTTTTTTTAGTACTATATATTTTAAATATATATATATATATATATATATATATATATATATATATATATATATATATATATATATATATAAAACTAAATTTGGCATTAATGACCTACAGTGGTTGATATGCCATAAAACCCAACCAACCAACAACCTACATGCAAATACCCTTGGGAAAGGTATGAATGCAATTTTTCTCCTCCTGCCAAGCTATAGATTAAATATCAGGGCAGATTGATCACTCTAGCCCTGGCTAGCAACCAGTCTAGGAGAAGGACAACTCTAAATTCAGAAAACTGTAACGACCAAAATCACAGGTTGCTCTTTGACAAAACATAGCACTTGGATGCCACCACTGCCAGGGTTATGATGAAGACATTTGTAACAGGGTGAGGTCAGTGGCAGAATTTAACCAACTAGATTTGACATTGAACTGTTGGGGTGTCATGAAAAAGATCCTTTATACTGGACAATGAATAAGACGTTAATTATTCTGAGTCAGATGGACACCTGACGAACATATAGAGCAATACCTTGTGTCCCCTAATATATGCGCAACCAAAATCCGCAATGCTGACATGCATAAACAGCACCAGGAAGAAGTGTGTGGATACTGCAGTGTGTACTAATGGATGACCTAGTTAGTTATAAACAAAATAAAACACTAGTCAAGAATAGTCCTTGGTAAGAGTTAAAGCCATTTTTAACCATTGATCCGAGAAAATGGTTGAATACAGTTAACAGTTTGAATATTTCTGGTCTAATTTGGTGTCATGTATGACATCCATATGGAAGTCTTCATCTGACAGGGTTATTTGAGATGATGACAAGGTTTCAGATTTATGTTTTGATAGCAACTTGTGGTGGTGTATGAAACTATCCTTCGTGTGGTTATAAATTAAAAAAAAAAATGATGCAACCTGTTCCAATCTATTCTATGTTCAATTTCTTAATCCTTTGGGGAAAATGAAATAAAATCAATAAATAAAATAATAATAACAACAATAATAAAGAAATAGATTTTCCCATGATTACTCCACTTGACCTATAAAACACTGTTAGGTGTTGCTGTTGAAGTCTATAAAATGGCACTCACTCTTTTTTCTCCTCTTTGCTCCGAGATGTAGAAAAATATGATCATTATGTTCCCACTGAGGAATGTTAGTTTCCCTGGTATGCTGACACCGGAAATCTTTTTTTTTTTTTTTCCCACTTTCCAACAACAGTGTTTGGATGTGTTTTGGTAGCCCTACTCATGGAGTAAGTGATTTGGTCGTTCCAACTCAGTGCAAGGCTGACTTGAGCTTGACCATTTTTAATAGTTCTTATCCTTACTTAATATAACTTGCTTCTGAACCAAAAAAAAATGAAAATTGATATACCCAAGAGCCATTGAGAACTTTGTTTCACAAGTCTGCATAAAAAAGAATAAATGGTTTGTAGTAGAAACTCAAGTTTTTGTATGCTTTTTATTTTTTTTGTTTATCATGTGTGTTAAATTCCATGATCTGATACTAAATTTGTTATAATGGATTCATACATCAAGGTATTTGAAATGTTTACTAACTTCGGAATTCTTAAAAGTGTTAGGATCTCACATACAATGATTCAGATTGAAAATACTTTATATTTAATTTGTTAATTGTAGGCTGAAAGGTTAAAACAACAGATCAACAGTCTTGTTCTAAAACAGAACAGTGCTGAGAGGGACTTGAGTGAATTGCAGAAATTAAAACCCGCTTTAGCTGAGGCAAAGAACGAAGCTGTACAGCTGAGGAGACGATATGAAGAAGAGAAAATGAAAACGTGAGTTGGTTAAACCTGGATTTATCAATTTTCATTTAAATTTTATCATTATAAGTACCCTCTAAAATTTTAAGTAACAGCCCCTTCCAATTTTTTTTTATTCTCCTATTCTCAGGGATGGGACTACCCACAATTATGAAGAGATCAAGTCAACAAGATGAAAGAAATGAACCTTTTTGAAATATTTTCAGTTTAAATAACATATTAAAATATGATATTTTAAAATTTAAAATTAAAGATAAAATAGATGTTTTGGGACATTTTTGGATATGTTTACAATATTTCCTTGATTATCTGGATGTGAAATTAAGAGGAAAATGGAAATCGTCCAAACATTTTTCAATTATCCAAACTAAATTAATTCTGATATTTAATTTTGCGCCAGCATTTTGTGACCCCATAACAGTAACGATTATATTTTGGACATTTTTAAGTTGGTTATGCTTTTATTTAAGCTTCATCAGAATTTTTTGGTGGAATGAGTTATGGAAGAGAAAGTTCCAGATAAAAAACAAACAACACAGAATTCTAAGTAATGGAACATTCTCTTCTATAATTCATTTCTCAAAAAGTAATTTCTGATGAAGCTTAAATAAAAGTGAAACATGTTAAATTTATGTTTTCTTATTTGTTTCTATTTTATCATTTTTTTTTATATTATGAAAATATTTTTGATTTTTTTTTTTTATGCTGTTTTACGTAAAGGCATTGATAGACATTTATTCTTAGTTCTTCTTCAAGGTCTTGTCTTTTTCAAAAGACTTGTTTTTAAGCATTATCCTGTCATCCCTACTATTTATTGACACCCCCTCCCTGTTTATTAGATTTTATCACCCACCCCCCAAATTCATGCCATTTTTTAAAGAACCTCCGTTTAATCTGATTTTTTTCATTCCCGTTTATTATGACATGGCTTTATTTATCACTTGTGCTTCTATACATACATAACCTTATACTTTAAGTAATATTTGAAATCAGAAAACAGTAGATTGCATACTATTTTCAGTATTTCATATATTTTGTGCAGTTTTAAATGAGTGATTTAAGTTACTAAGTTAATTAATTGCTACTAACTTTACCTTCCTAAAGATCTTTATAGAGAATCTAAGACATGAAATGTGTTTAGAAAAAGCAACAATGCTGCAGAAGCAAAACCTGAAATATTCTTAGGGTTTATGAGATAGTCTTTAAATGAAAAAAATTTTCTTTTATCTTTTTGGTATTAGATTAGATGCATAGTGCATAGTGGCTCAGAATAAGAATTGTAGGGCCAAGTTCAAATTCCTGTCAGCTTTTTTACATTTACTTATACACAAATTCCCTTGGAAAAAGTATAAATTCATCTCCACCCAACTATGGGCTACATAGAACTTTTATCTAGAAAAATTCCTTGTTATTCTCAGAAATTGTTACTGCAATATTCATTCACAAAAAAGAATGATTTTTATAAGCTGTTAAAAAAAAATGGCATTAAATTTCAAAGAACTTAACCTCCAATCAAACAACGTTTTAAAATTCCTCTTTATTTTTTTTAAAAACTTTTCTCTTTTTATGTTATTTCCAGTAAATTACTGCACCAGACACAAAATTACATGAGACAAGAAATTAATCGACTTCAATCAGCTGGTTTCAACCAAACAAGGCAGGAAAAAGATGTGTCAAAGAACTCAGTAAGTTTAATTATTTTGAGAGAGAGGCAGATTTGTTTATGTGTATGTAGGTGTTAATGGCTCTCCACAATTTCTCAGCAGTAATTATAATCAAAGCAATTGCAAAATGACTAAGAGATGACTGTAATGTTTTTTTTTTTTTAAGGTGATATAGGCTTTTAGGAGTTCATAATGAGAGCACATGCATTCATTAAAAGGGTAATTGAATCTTATTGGACTGTGAAACTCTTTGTGGCTGGGTGGTCTAAGACATGCTGCATCAGATAGAAGGTTTCCCTTACAAAGAGGCATGTAGGTTCAAAACCTGCTGAGGGACATATTTTCTTTAAGATTCTTGACTACACAAACCAGTAGATGTAATTCATTAATTTATAACCCCCACCCCACAAAAAAAACAGGGCATTGACTTTAAGATGTATATCCATTAAAACAGAGGGTCCCACCCTTTTTTGCACCATAGCCCACTTTCACATGAAAAATTTTCAACCATCTGTACAGTAAATATTGAAAAGCATACCAAAATTGTTTAGTAAAAGTTTGTTACTGGTTCATAAACTGACTTTATGATGTTGGACAAAATACTAAAGGGAGGTAAGAAATAATGCTGCTGCAACTGCCATATTAAAGAAACAAAAGCAAACTTGACCACTAGAAAATACAGGATTGGTGCATACTATCCCTGAACTTCACTGACCAGGGTTGGGGGCAAGCCTGATTGGGGCCCTGGCTTTGTGACACTTGCTATCTTATCAACATTTGCTTTTTTTTCTACTTACATTTTATTATTAAAGGATGAAAAATCTTTGTAGATTTTGAGGTCATTCTGTTTTTTTTCATCCATATTGTGAATTTGTGTTGTAAAAAATACAAATATAAAATTCAATATTTTTATCTGTGATGTTGAATGTGTTAAAATTATTCAAGTTTTTAACAAGAAAAATCTTAAGTTGATATTCAAAATTGCCACAAAACATTTTTGATTTATTTAAATTGGAATGATCAATTATGACAGGTCTCTAATTTGTATTCTGAAAGTAAATTTACAGAGCATAAATATTACAAATTAACTGATTTAAAATATAGTTCCTTCACTACACAGGAATTACCATGTTTCAAAAATTCATACTTAAAATAAATTGTCAGGCCTGATGATTGCATCTTAAGCATTTAACAGACTGTCACACCTAGGTGTTGACTTCAATGCCCACACATGCATATATATATATATATATATAAATAGCACAGATACTCTGATAGAGCAGAATTATTAATTGTACCATCTATGTGAATTTAAATTAAAAAATTAATTTTATGTTTAATAATATGGTAGCTTCTGGAAGAAATACTTGTACATGTAAATAATATTCAGTTACATTTAAAAAGCATTTTAGGTGAAAAGATTGGAAGTGTCAATAGAGATTTCTATGTTTTATTTTAATTTTTTTCAACTACCTATGAAAATTTTATAAATGTTTATGACTTCTGATGGATTTGCTGAAAGCTGGTATGTATTTCAGCTTTATAATCAAAAGTAGGAAGTTAAAAAATTTTTCTTAAATATTTTCTCTATATTTCTCGTTATCTATGATATATCCGGGTTACACTGTATGTATATATATATAAGAGAAATTTTCTCTGGTCCCAAAGTGTTCCCATACTTACCTAAACAAAATAGACATAATAAGAGAAACCCAGATATAAGAGACTTCTTCTCCCGACAACTCTCTTATATTCAAGTTCCACTGTATATATATATTAACACAAGATTAGAATTTTTTGTTATATATTTTAATATTCTTGTAAATTTAATAATTTTGCTGTTTCGCTATGTGGCCTATTCTCTTTGCAGCCATCACTGTGTAATTTAGCAGCAGAGAACAACCACCTCTTGCAGGAAGTGAATGACCTCAAGTTGGCACTGCTCTCTGCAAATGAAAGGCATGAATTGCAACAAAAGAAATATGAAGACAGAAAACATCGAATAAGAACCAAATTCCTGAGAGCCAGGTTTTTATTAATTCATTTTTCTTACACCACAAACATTTTAAAATGGGTACAATAGATTGATTGTTTTTTTTTAAAAATGTCAATGATCATACTAATAGTTCTTACTTTATTTTTTAACTACTCATGTCAGAAATGCTTTGCAATATATACATTGTTACCTCCCCTTAAATGTTGCTTGTTAGCCATGGCATGACACAGCATTCCTTACTCCACATATAAGAAAGTTAATTTTCAGATGATCACTACAACCATGACACTTACCTGATTAACAATATCCTCATGATGACATTTCAAAAGTACTCGGATCATAAAATAAAAAATTAATCAACACAGCATTTTCCTCTTGTCCTTCAATAATCATACAAAAAAGCTTATCCATGGAGAATAAGTAGACAGGACATGTCAAAATTATTCAATGAATATTCTGAGGAAATATATACATATGTATATAAGAAAATCACTGGAGAATGTTCCTGGCTGTTGTCTGCGAAAACATTTATTTTTACCATTCCAAATATTCTTGTTTGCCAATCTAAACAATCTTCATTCAGGGAACTGTACAATCAAGAACGAGGCCAACTCAAAGAACAATTATCTCACCTGAGGGAAGATCTTCTGGTGGCAAGGTCTATGTTCAACAAAGAACATGAATTACGAGAGGATTTGGACAATAGCTACAAAAGGCTTTCTGTTGAACGAAGGGAACTTTTAAGCAAGTAAATATAATTTATTATTCATATTTTAATTTTAAAAAAATTTGTTGTATAAATTTGTATTAATCAGATATATTTTCTTTTTTTCATTTGTTGTTTGGAAGTAAGGTCTGATGATCCGATTTATTTCATGGAAATTCAAAGTGGTCTGTTTGTATTTAAATTATATATATATATATATATATATATATAAACAGGTTGTTGTTGCAACAAGAGGATAAAAATAATCTTAAGGGCATAATAATTTATTATTACAATATGATACAAAAGTATGACAATGTTTTTTTAAAATTTAAGGCGACTTTCAGCCAACACTTTAGAAATATAATCATTGGCAGAATATATATATATGAAAATAGAATGCCAGAAATATATATATATATAAAATAGAATGCCAGAAAAAATATATATATATATATATATATATATAATATATATATATATATATAATTATTTTTATAAAAAAATTATAACATAAGTATGTTATAAAATCACTACAAAAATAGCCATTTTGTTTCAACACACTCTGTGTCTTATCAAGTGATGATGTTAAAAGAAAAATAAATGGTTTTAAAAGTTTCAGATTAATTAACGATCCTACACTAGGGGGAAACATTGTTACAAAAGCTAGAATAACCAATCAAAAACGAAGTATAGAAAGATTCAAAAGCTTGACAACGAAATCTTGCTATAATAGCTATTCAGATCTTTAAATACATGTAATATTAAAAATAATTTATACTAACTAATAATTATAAATTTACATGATAAAATTTAATATTAAAATTAAAAACTGGCAATTTTTAAAAAAATCCAAATTTAATCACTATTAAGTTTAAAAACTACAAAATTATTGAGAAAAGAAAAAAATATATGTTTATTCAATTCATTTCTTCATTGAAATTACGTTCGACAAGACAATACGCTACAATACATCCGGTCATTTGATAATACATGTATATATATTTTTCTTTTTCCCTTTCTTTTCCCTTTTATTTTAAAGTTTGTGAATATGGTCTTAAACTCACGCGTGACACAAACAAAATACAATCAGATTATAATACATAAGCATCCAGACATAATTAGATACACACACACACACACAAAAAAAAAAAAAAAAAAAAAGGAGAGGTGGGGGAATACATGCACATCTCTACAGCCCTTTATGAAAAAAAGGAGACGTGAAACTAACACTTATACACACACAGATAAATGTGAATACCCTCTACATACACATAGACACCCGATATATACACATACATACATCCACAGACAATGGCATAGACATTGAGAAATCACAACCAGTAAATATTTCAGACTTAAATAAATGCTAACCACTTATTGAATTATAACTTAAGGGAGCAAATATACAAAGATAAAAATGTTTAAAATAATATTATTTAATATATTAAAACGAAAATTCTAAAACCATAAATATCAATAAAAATATATATATTATTAATCATATAAGTTGATAATAGTTTCATTATATATTTGGCAAAGAAAAACAGGATAAAGAAATCCACAAATATATACACATATATATATATATATACACGGCAGCAAAAACAAATTAACACACATAAATATATACTCATACATACATACATATACATACATACAGAAATACATAAACAAACATATACGTACATATACATATCTATGATAACAAGTACACATGTACGCACATATACATATAAACCTAAATACACACACATATATACACATAGACTTTTATGCACACATACTTAGATATATAAAAAAAAAACCGTCATGATATACCAAAGTTTCCATACCCACACATACACAAACTCATACATAATAGGTGCCAACACACACACATATATATATACACATACATACATATCTACAAATAAACATAGATATATTTATTTATATATATATCTACAATAACAACTACACATATATATACATGCATACATAAAAATATATAAACAACATTCAACCAAATACATATATAAACGAACTAATATATATATACATAAATACACCTTCAAACACCAACACACAGCAATATACATATAGTCTAACATACAAAATATATAAACACATATTCATACAAACAGAAATATACTTAAATATAAATACACATACACAATAAAATAGGACATATATATATATATATATATATATATGCACACACGCATATATTATATATATATGAGGAACGAACTCATTCCTCAGTCGCACCTAATCTAGCGAACCATGCTGGCCAACCATTATACTGCCTTGATTTTATATATACATATACATGTACATACTATATACATATACACATACACACACATACATACATACATTTTACACATATATACATATCCATGTGTATAAGTGTTAGTTTCCACGTCTCCTTTTTTCATAAAGGGCTGTAGATGATGTATGTATTCCCCACCTCTCCTTTTTTTTTTTTTTTTTTTTTTTGTGTGTGTGTGTATCTAATTATGTCTGGATGCTTATATATATATATAATCTGATTGTATTTTTGTTGTGTCACGCGTGAGTTTAATATACCATATTCACAAACTTTAAAATAAAAGGGAAAATAAAATATAAAAAGAGAAAAAATATATATACATGTATTATCAAATGACCGGATGTATTGTAGCGTATTGTCTTGTCGAACGTAATTTCAATGAAGAAATGAATTGAATAAAATATATATTTTTTATATTTCTCAATAATTTTGTAGTTTTAAACTTAATAGTGATTAAATTTGGTTTTTAAAATTGCCAGTTTTTTAATTTTAATATTAAATTTTATCATGTAAATTTATAATTATTAGTTAGTATAAATTATTTTTGATATTACACGTATTTAAAGATCTGAATAGCTGTTAGAGCAGGATTTCGTTGTCAAGCTTTTGAATCTTTCTATACTTCGTTTTTGATTGGTTATTCTATATTTTGTAACAATGTTTCCCCTAGTGTAGGATCGTTAATTAATCTGAAACTTTTAAAACCATTTATTTTATTTTAACATCATCACTTGATAAGACATATACAGATATGTGTTGAAACAAAATGGCTATTTTGTAGTGATTTTATAACATACTTATGTTATAATTTTTATAAAATAATTATATCTATATATATATTTATATATATATATATATATATATAGCACGCTTTTATATAATAATATATAATTGTTATTGAATTCATATATATATGTATACCAATTATATACTATTATATATATATATATATATAGAATGCCAGAAATATATATATATAGAGAGAGAGAGAATGCCAGAAATATATATATATATATATATATATATATAGAATGATATATATATATATAAATATATATATATATATATATATATAGAGAGAATGCCATATATAATATATATATATATATATATATAGAATGCCAGAATATATATATATATATATATATAGAGAATGCCAGAAATATATATATATATATATAGAGAATGCCAGAATATATATATATATATATATAGAGAGAGAGAATGCCAGAAATATATATATATATATATATAGAAAAAATATTATACATACATAAAAAAACCTCATACACAATTTATTTTCGGAATCCCCACAAAAATTATGATTGATAGAAGCCTTACTTTTATTGTAGAACCTTGCAAACTCATATGACGTTTATTATTTTCACTTAAAGCAGCACTTCTTTTTGTATATTTTGGGTACAACGTATATCTTGCCAAAGTGAATACTCTTTTTTACTATCCTTAACTGTAGTTCATTGGGAGTATTTTAAACATTGAGATGGGTCTTTGTAATTTACTTTGATAGTGAAATATTCATTGATTGTGTAGCCAATGCTACTTTTGATTTCAATACATAGAATCTTTCATAGGTTTTACATTTGCATTATTATCATTATTTCCATTACTAATGAAATTTTCCTCCCTTGTCTTTTCTAGTATTTACTTAAATAATAAATAAAAAGTCAGTTCTATAAATCAGGTAATTGTTTGATTTTAGAGTTGATTGTAGATAAGCAAACCATGAACAATGGGGATCAATGTAATGCTATCTAAGTACTTCTATGGTGTATGTTAATAATAAAATCAGTTAAGATATAATCATTTGCAAACTCTACTTAAAATATAGAACAATGAATTGAGACCCATCCAGTTTGGATCCCTGGGAATAATATGGCTGATAAGGTAACAGAGGAATCCCTTTCAATGTACATATCAAATTTCAAAAATTCCTTTTACAGACTTGAAAGACACAATGGCAAAAACCATGGAATATCCACACACACACAACAAACTATATAAAAATAAAACCCATTCTGACTGTACAACATCACAATACCAGACACTCTAGGAAAGATGATGTCATTCCTACAAGAATCAAAACCATCTTCCAAAAGTTACTGTCAAACATATTTTAATTAACTGCATAAAACTATCACCTATACAAAATATATCCAACCTTAGGGCCCTCTTTGAGAGTGTCAAGCTCAAAGCCATTCTAGAATTCTTAAAAGTAACAAAACTCTACCCCAAAATATAAGAAGGAAACTGAATAAATACCTGGCTACAAAATACAACTAAAAGTGAATTACATGTCCACCTTTTGTCTGGAAAATAGTTTTAAGATTTCTTTTTATTTAGTGTCTAACTGATTCGGTGCAAAATGACCCATGGGGGTTTTGGTGTGCTGGTAAAATAACCTATCTAAATCATGCATTTGTATTACTTGATGCTATTGTTTATTGTTCAGAAGTGAAATGCCAACTTCATGACTTTTCAATTCTTTCTTCTAGAATATTTGTCTTTTTTCATTAAGAACCATATGATGGTAGAAATTATTAAGTTGTCATAATTTTCTGGTCTTCTCTTAAAGAAATTCTGAACAGCTCCAGAAGATCAGAGAACTGACAAGAAATTTGTCAATGCATGAAGTTCAGTTGAAATTCTTGGAAGATGAAAACAAACGACTTCAAGAAAAAGTCATCACTGCTAACCAGCGTCATAGTGCATCCCTACGAGCCAATCAGAAAATGGTAAATGTCTTTTAGGATTCTTGATGGAAATCTTTTCAAAAGTACTCATTATATTTACTCTAGCTTAAAAAAAAAAAAAATGATTTTTATCCCATACTAAAAATGCAAAATAAATTTTTGAAAGCAAAAATTTCAATGAAATATGTTGAAAAGGTTTCATCTGAACTCAGGAAAATACAATGTTTAAGTCAAATCATCACAATATATGAGGATTAGGGTGCAAAAATGTCAATTTAATCTGAGGATAGACACTGCTGATCAAAATTTTAAGGACAGTGAAAATAAAGAAAAATATACCTTTTGTGTTGTTATTATGTGAGTAGAACTTTGAAAATAAAATAAAAATTAATTTTTTTTTTTTTTTTTAGCATTTAATAGGGACAATTTCAATACTGTGAAATTAGGTTAGTATGTACAAAAATATGAGATTCATTTTGGACAAATATATGCAAAATATTTTAATTGTATTATTTGTAGACAAGAAAAATGGTAAAATTTTATTTTCATATTTTCTTTTTCAAATGTACTGAAAGACCTTACCATAGTTAATAGTGTGTAAAATCATCCAATTTTGCTATGATATGTATAAGTCCATATTGTTTAAATTGGGCAACAAGATTTATCAACTTAATGATATAAGATGACAATACAAGTTGACAAAAATTATCAGTGAAAACCCCACAAGATTTTGATTCAGCCTGGTGTGTATATATATATATATATATTGATAATTGGGTATTTAGGCAGTGATCCCTCTTTTATACATGTTTTATTAAAGATGACTGACAATGTACCGAGATTAGTTTCCTTGTCTGGACACCATCATAAAGAAACAGAAAAACCCAACACTCAATAAGATTAACTATGAACATGGCCACAATGTGCTGACCATGTTCAGAAAAGAAAACATTCCTATAATTTTATACACATACATAAAAAACCCACATATTTAGTTAAGAACAATAATGTCTAAAAGAATAGCCAAAAGAACTCAGATATGAATAACTTTAGGGCAGCTTTTACACACTTTGTGTCCAGAAAAGAAAACACTTGTATGGACACAAGAAAAATTGTATAAAAAGCTTTGTCACTCATCTTGATCAAAATATATATATATATGTGTGTGTGTAGTCAGCCCCAAAAATGTACACACACACACACTTCAGAAAAGGAAAAACTTGTATAGCTATTGTAATAATGAATTATATAAAACATCACAAGATTAATACAAGTGACCTTTGAACTCTACAATCACAAGAGATGCTCAAAATGGTGGCCTTTAGCTTCCAGAGATTCATCAGTACAGCAAACTACTACTTGGGCAACATTGGCCAAAGTGTCCAGTGGGATTGCTGTACATGCATTTTCAATTTCTTGTCTAAGGGCTGCCAATGTAATGCCATCTGTCTAGAAAATAACAGTGAACAGTGTTATGGCAATTTGATAAATCTACAAAAGACAAGTTTTTTTTGTTTCCTGAAGCATGTATACATTTTTTTGGCAGACTGTGTGTGTGCGTGTATATATGATACCAGATCCCCTCACTGACACAAACAAAATAAACATACCATTAACTCATTCTATCATAACCAAATGCACCCTAATTATAATCAGAATGAAAAAGCAATAAAAAGCAATTCACTCAATGATCCTAACGCGTAAGATTTATTATATACTACAAAAAGTTTAAAACATCCAACTTAATAATTACCGACAACACCAGGCCTTATAAATGCCCATTATGTAAAAATAATGTCTATGAATCCTCGTACCCACTGGAAGTTTGCTTCTCAACAGTAATAATCAAAAGACAACATTAAATACTTACATTGGGCACATATGCACCACACTCACTTGCAGATTAACCTGTCAAAACTCAGTACAATCTGCCCACTGAACAACCAAAGTATAACTATTAATATAAGACAAATACTAGTAGATAACATAAAATTACTGTATAGAACCCAATGCAAGGAAAGACTCAAAACTTTAGAAGCTATTAGTATACAACATAAACAGGCCAGATTAAATTATATCATTCACCACAGGTGAAGGTATCTTGGACTGGGCACATATTTTATTAGTATTATAATAAAATAAAATCACATCTGTTTTGTGCAGCCTGGTTCTCAATAGCTGTTATATATCACATCACACTAAACCATTTTAAAAGTCCAGCTTTCTAAAGAATACCAGGATGAAGACAAAGGAAATCTAACTACCACCCAGACATCACATTGGCTCTTGATAATGAATGAGAAATTCTAAATTACTTGAACAAAAAGAAATATAACAAAATATTAACTTCTGACAATTCATCCCCAAGAAAAATATTCAACATTTTAACCCAAAATTGGAAAAATACAATCAAAATTAAACAGACAAACCTTGTTGGTTCTTTTTCATCAAACTTGTTGGATGAATACTTATTATATATTTAATTAGTCAAGGAGCTGATAAGTTGATATCAGCATGAAGCATTATTGAGAAATGCCTGAAAAATAAATAATAAAGACATGTAAGAGAAATTTTGGTTAAATGCAACTTTTTGAAGGTCATGAGTTTTTGAGCTACTATCAAATTATTATGACTAACAGATCAAAAATACTAACCTTGGCCCCAGCCACTAAATAACCTAGAAACTATAAGGTTTTCTGGGCATAGATGCAGTATTAATTGCAGGTTGGATCTTTGTGTCAAGTATTTTTCCTAGTTTTTTTGTTTATTTTATTTTAGTGAAATTTAAAAGATTTGCTTAAAAAAAAAAAGCATATATTCTACATTGTAGCAAATAATATATATTTTTTCTTTTTCAGATATTTCAGCATCAACTGTCAAAAGATACCGATTCTCTACTTCTTGGTACCATCTCTGGCAATTTAGAGTCTGTTATTAATCGACCACTGTCCTATTCTGAGAATGGGATGTTTTCCTTGTTGAATAATCAGCATCATTCGGACAAACACCAAGTGATCAATCTAAATAAAGATGAAGAACATGAAAATTTAGAAGACAGTTGTGATGTCTAGTAACAAAATCCAGTTGCTAAAATTCTCAAGGTATCAACAGAAAATAAGCATTTGAATTCAATCAAAAATGAAATCACAGAATCATCAGTTGAATATTTTCTGGGTCTTGCAATCCACTTTTGAGGCCCACTGGTTTTTTCATTGAACAACAAAAACCTCAAACCGAATTCTTCCGGAAGAGAGAATTCTCCCTATTTTGATGAAAGCACATCATTGTGGATTTTCTCTGCTATTCTTACCAAAATGGAGACATGTATAGAAGCTATATGCTTTCCAAATAATAATAATTCAGGGAAATTTGAAAAATCTTGGTTGAATCTTCCCTTAGCTTTTAGAGAACTCTTATAATACATGACAATTTAGGAGCAAGATTTTTAAAACATATATACACTTTCATTTTGATATATTTTTGTTTCATATGTAAATTAAAATATATTTACTGTTTTTCTGCTGTTTTGGGTTTCATTTTCAGGATATAAAGAAAAATAATTTAGTCACTGTGTGACTATTTTTATACTTGTACTTTTCTTTTTCCATCCCCAAACTTTCCATGTACAAATTATTTATGTTACATAAATATTACTATGGGCAATTTGACGTGGTGTAATGGTTATTGCAAGCTTGTCACACTAGATCAATTACTAGTGAGTTCAATCCTCACTAGGGGCCTCATACTTGCAATCTTGTGCAACACCTAAAGTACACTTATAAAATCACCATAAACATCAATATAATTTGTCTTTCAAAATGTTTCTAAAAATTATTCATATATTAAAAAAGAGTTTGTTTCTTCTAACTTAGAAAACCTGATTTTCTTATGCATAATGCAAAAAATTTTGAACGAAAATTAAAAGCCAAAAAGGTGGTGGGAAATTTTTACTCAGTGTAAAAACCTCTTATTTGAAACGAGATTGTTCTAAGTGAGCGTATTTACAATCTAAATAAATAAATGGCAAATTCTGTCTGTCCATCTTCGTGTCTGAAACCTCTTTAACACAGGCCACACTTTCTCTACATAGACATATTCTACTATTTTGGAATCAGGATGCTTCATCTGGTGCTTGACCATCCAGCATTTGTGTTCAGATGAAGATAGAATAGTTAAAAATTAAAATTTTAAAATAACTGAAAAAAAATTAGTGATTTTAAAAATTTTAAATTTATATTGAGTTTAAAGTAACAAAACTTCATGTATTTATAAAATTTTGTTTTAAATTGAGTTTAAAATATCTCCAAAACTTTGGGAATTAAGGAAATCAATTTTATTTCTTCAAAATGTTAAGGAATCAGAGGTTTCATGATGTAAGGTTTTGAAGGTTCATAGTTTGTGATTTGAAGAACTCAATTTTTAGTTTCAAATTGGACATAGCCGGAATCAGAGTTAAAGTGAAGTTTTGAAGTTCAATGAAGTTGAAAATTATCATTGTTGTTTTCTAAACTGGACCAGAAGTCCCTTTACTTTTGAACTGGAGGCCCAATTAGCCCTCTGCAAAAGCTAGCTTAAAAGTCGGCAAAGAACGAAACTTTTAAGCTAACAGATAATAAAACAAAATGTAGGCAGACTTTGATAACAATTGCATAACAAAAAGCTTATCTGATATGTTGATTTATAAATTTCTTCTTTCTTAATGAAAGACAATTTCTTTTTTATTTTCATAGTTTGTTAACATATAGAAAAATAATAAAGTTATAGATTAATTAGCACTTTAAAACGTATTACCAGGTATGTCGACTTAGGACCTTTCACTGAAAATAAATTTTGAAACAGAAACATGAAAAAACACACAATGGCTAAACAACCAGTTCATTCCTATTCTTCAATATTGCAATACATTTTAGCTAAATATATGTATGACATTAATATTTTAATGGATAATATGGTAAAACTTTAAAAACAGAAAGAATCCCATAGGCATAGGTACTATAGGGTTATATTATATACTATATAGGTACTATAGGGTTATATTATACTTGAGGATGTAATTTGTTACCGGTTTTTATCCTCAGAAACACAGGTTTGTACTATATACAAAGAATACGGTATATGGTAAAAAAATAACCTTGATATAAGCTGAGGAATTTCACAAACAATAATTCTTCATTTACTCCAAATCATCCACAAATTCATTAAGATCATTTCCTCATATATATATTTTACTATCTTTAATATTCAACTTTTGATTCCTAAATTTTTTTTTTCCACATATTACCATTTTAAGAGGAAATAATTATCAGAATACAAATTCATGATGCTTATGTTTCATCTTTTTGGTTCTTAACATGTTCTGTTTTATAAATATATCTGTATATGGGAGAAAGAGAAATATATCATAAGTAGCCAGTACTTGAGTGACCAAAACGGAAACAATCTTGATGTAACAAGATTTGTTCTTCAAAAACAAAAAAAAATCCTCCCCCATACAAATAATCCCATCAATAAGAACATAATTTTAGTCTGATGAAGTCCTTTTCAAGGATAAAACAGTCATTTTCTCATTCAATTATATATATATATATATATATATATATATATAAAATAAGAGGATGAAGACTAATTATCCAAGGATGATTAAAGTCTCCGTCTTCTCATTATCATACTCTGTAGTCTATATTGAACTCTCTCTGGATTTATATCCTCCTCAGAATTATCCCTTCCAGTCACAAACTGGTACGACGTGTGTGTGTGTGTGTGTATATATATATATATATATATATGACACCTCGAGGTGGTGTAAGAGCAAGTTTGTCTCACTATTAACAATTATGACTGAGTAGTGAGTTCAATTCTGACTGGGTGCCCCATACTTTTGGCCTTGTGCCACATCTAAGCTATGCTTGGAAAATAACTATATATATATATATATATATATATATATATATATATATATATATATAGGAATCGCTGAAGATCACATTGAAGTGAGGAAACTTTCTCATGTTTATCTGTAAAAGTCTATCTCCAATATTATTTTTCTATTTTTTGCTCACCTTTGCCATTTAAGCATTAATTATTTAAGCAAGAAATAAAAAAAAAAATAAAATTAGGTATTCAAACAAGAAATAAATTTTAAAAAATCCCTGAATAAACCTATATTTTCATAAAGTTGAGAAAACCCCAGAATATTCTGGAAACTATAAGTTGTCATTGACAGCAGACATAACATTGTTTCAAAAGATGACGTAAAAGAGACAAAAGATAAAGAAAAGGAATAATGATAGACGATAAGGAGACAAGAAAATTATGAAAAAGACAAAATAACCCTCGCATCCTACACATATTCACATAAAGAAGAAAAATCAACCTAACATCCCCACCCCAAAAAGGTATCGTCTATGAAACACTGGATTAGAAATGCTCTCCACAGAAAACAAACAAGGAACATAGATGGCATATTGTATTTATTTTCTATAAATTTCCAGAATCCTAATTAAAATTTCCAATATTTTTGGGACAATTAACCACCTTCTTCTTAGTGTTGTCAGCATAACATTTCAAATGCCTTTTTGGATGGGGTTTATATTGACTGCATCCCTATTGCTAACAACTTTTAGATTTATTTTTATTTAAGGCTCAGATATTATGGAAATTAAAAGGCTGTGAGGACAGCAAATAGCAATTAAATTGAAATTTTTACAGATTAAAGATGGTTGGAAAGCATAGAACTGAAAGGGTGTTTTACAAGCAAGAAGTGCAAGAAAAATTGTTAGTATAGAACTTACGTCCCAATCTAGTCAGCCGAACCGTAAATTGATGGGATTTTGATGCCAGTCTAGTACTGTACTTAAATTCTAAAAGTCTAGTTCAGTCATTTATGTGCCATATGTGATACACACTTAGGCGATCATGTATTTTTCAATACATGACTGACAAGGCAGATTTCCTACAGTAGGTTGCCATTTTTTTTCTGCAGTAGACCAGTTGCCATCCAAGGCTATAGAACCAGGTCTGTTCTGCTATCTACCCATAGCTGGGGGGGAGAACAAGAGGATTCATACTTTATCCAAGGGTATTAGCATGTAAGTGAATGTAATGGATTTGATTGAAATTTAAACTCAGCTTTCCAATTCCTCAATCCGAGCCGCTATCCATTACTCCACTGTGCTGCCAGTATATTCACTAAGAATTGAAATCCTGGGGGAAAAATTACTGACTCACAAAAAATACAAAAGACACAAAAAAAGTTTTAAAAATCAAATGGAGGATGGCATCCATGATAGCTCAAAAATATTATCAAAAATTAAAGAAAAAGAATTATTAAAAACATCTTCTTCAAAACTAATAAATACTGACTACAGCATTCAACTCTGCAACTGACACAAAGATGATGATGCTAGAATAATTACTGTATCTGAAAACATTTAATATTACTAGTAGTCTCTGATCATAGTCAAAACATGTAAATAATGAGGAAGTTTTAAGAATAACAAGAACTGGCACTACAAAAATTAACTGGTCAGCTTTTTACATTTATTTGGACTATTGTCCTCATCCAAGTTCTCCACTGCCTTAACCAGGTATTGAACTCACACTCTTTGGGTCCTGTCACTGGATCTAACCAACACCTTTATCCACTGTGCCATGTGTCCTTGAGGGAATTAACAGGAGATTACTGACATCCATTAAACATGGAACTAGAACAGTCTATCTCAGTGAGCAAAATAAAGGGTTCAGTTCGATATTCTAACAACCTGAAGAAGGCCGGAGCATACAACGGCCAAAACATTGTAATAAATATGGCAACAACGATGAGGACAATAGTTTGAATAATGTAAATAGTGTACATAATACCTCATCTCATAAATATAAACAGATACTGGTCAGCTTATTAAAAAAAAAAAAGAAAAAAAATATTGTATTTTTCTTCCTTAACAAGTTTTGTAGATTAGGATTTATTACAGCTACAAAATTTATCAGATTCAAAAAAAAAATATTTGTTTATATTTCTGAGAGGAGGTATTGTAACTATTTATACCTGTTCAGGCATTGCATGTGCCATGCC